AGGTCTTATAGACTTGTGCACAAAGCAGCTAAATCATAGAAAGAGTGAGAAACCACTGATTTAATAATAGTAAAGACCACTTATAAAACAAATACCATTAGTATATGTATGTAATTCAAGACTATCAAGAGAGCCATGGGCCACAACACCTGAGTACCATATATATACTCACCTATAAGTCGGTCTGCCTATAAGTCGGTTGTATTTTTGAGGTTATTTTGGAGGGATTTGCAATTGACTTGCTTATAAGTCGGTACAGCTTTTTGCCAGAATCAGTTGACAATTTCAAATCAATGCTCTGATGTTTTAACCTGGTATCGATTAATATTTTTAGAAATGATGCCAATATTTAATTTTAAATCATTTAGAAAAATACATAATGTACACTTAAGGTAAAAAAAGTTATTAAAATATGTAAATACTAAATTGTAATTTATGTATAATTTTAGAGTACATAAATGATATAATATATCCAGACTTTGTTCAATGATAATCGTGAGAAATGTTTATAAAATTCTACATTTCACCATCCAGAAAAATACAAATCTTTTTATGTCGACTTGCCTATAAGTAGGACATCAAGTTTTGGACCAAAATTTTACTCCCAAAAAACTGACTTATAGGCGAGTATATACAGTAACTATGGCCTTGCTGTTCTACATCAGGAGATTTTTTTTCCTATATATTCTTATGTAAAACTTTGATCACTATTGTGGCCACAACTTATTCCCAAGGGTCATGATTTGAACAAACCTGAATCTAGACTAAACTACCTGAGGATAATTCTATATCGATGACTAATCATGTCTTAGCTGTTCTTTTCCTGTATATTCCTATGTGAAATTTGATCACATATTGTGGCCCAACCCTACCCCTGGGAACAAGATTTGAACAAACCAGAATCTAGACTACACTACCTGAGGATAATTCTATATCAATGACTTAATAAATCATGTCTTAGCTGCATGTTCTTTTCCTGTAAATGTGAAATTTGATCACATATTGTGGCCCAACCCTACCCCTGCACCCTTGGAACATGATTTGAACAAAAAAGAAAACTTGAATTTACACTATGTAATGAAGCTAATTCACATATATGTTTGAACTTCTCTGACCAGGGGGTTCTTGAGAAGATTTTTTCCTATATATTCCATGTACAGCTTCGATCACCTCTTCTGGCCTCAACTTACCCCCAGGGTTCATGATTTGAACAAATTTGAATCTACACCATGTAATGAAGCTTTTTCACAAGTTTCAACTTTTCTGGCCAATTAAGTTCTTGAGAAGAAGATTTTTGAAAGATGCCATTAAATTTTTGCTAATTATCTCCCCTTGAAAGAGGGCATGACCCTTCATTTGAACAAATTTGAATCCCCTTTGCCCAGGGATGCTTCAATTGTGACAGGTTTGGTTGAAATTGGCCCAGTGGTTCGGGAGAAGAAGATGCAGATGTGAATAGTTTATGTTGACAACAACAACCAAAGGTAACAGACAAATTTTGATCTTGCTTGAGTCTTCCCCTCGGGTGAGCTAAAAATACAGATGTTTCATTTGTTAAAAAATATAACGAGGAAAAATACTAGCCCTGAAAAGACAAGTTTCATTCATTCTGTTTATAGCTGGACTGTACTTCAAAGGCAATGTACATTATTAAGAGTGTCTTCTCATAAAAGTCAATGCATTGCAATATAATTTTTGGAGATTAAAGTTTTAAAGATGCAATTGGACATCTTCAAAGACAATATCTCTCAAAGTTAACATATATATCTGGAGGACTCAAAGTTAACATATATCTGGAGGACATATTTTATTGTAATGGTTTGGCCTGGCTAGCTCAGTTGGTAGAGCACCTGACTAGTGATATTGGGGTACCAGGTTCAATTCCTGGTTCAGCCAAACATGTTCTTTCCTTTTACAGATTTGATACTGTTGACCACCCCTGGACTTGAAAGTCATGGCAAGGAAAAATAAGAGTTTGGATTGTGTCTTTGAGAGCGAAGACAATTTAAGGAAGGAGGAATGTAGTGGTTTGGGCCATGGATATCGACCAGAGTAGAGCACCTGACTAGTGTTAAAGTTGTCCCAGGTTCCATTCCTGGACCAACCATACATTTTTAGCTCTTCTAAGCCAAAGGCTCAAAGAGCTAATGCTATGGCCATTTGTGTGGTGTGTGTAAACCTTTTAGAATATGGGCCATAACTCAAGAACCCCTTGGCCAATTATTGTCAAATTTGTCACAGGGTATTCTTGGCCCAAGGGCTCCAGTTTATACTAAAACTAGGGTTGTGACCCTTAAACAAGGGGAGATAATTAGGAAAATAGAAACAAAAGTACTGGTTGCAAAAAAATCTTCTTCTCAAGAACCACAGGGCAGATTATCACCAAACTTAAACAAAAGGATGAGGATATGTTGTAGATTAAAATTTGCATGGGGATTTACCCTGGGGCAAAGGGCGTGGTCTCAAGGTCACTTCAAAGTTGACCAAAAATTACATTTTATTAAAATATTGATATTTTGCTTACTATAAGGACTAGGATCATCAAATCTTGTTAGTTGATGCATCTAAGGACCTCATATTATGTTGACTCAAAAGTAGGTCACGGTGACCTACTTTTTAAATTTTGCGGCCATTCTTTTCAAAATGATTTAGAGGCATATTTTGAACAATTTAAGGCCTATGATCATCAAACTTTGTCAGTTGATGTATCTTGGGTCCTCAGAGTACGTCGACTAAAAAGTAGGTCACCATGACCTACTTTTTGAATTTTATGGCTAATCTTTTTCAAAACAATTAAGGTCATTAATTCAAATACTGAGAGGTTTAGAATCATTAAATCTTGGAAGATTATGCATCTTTGGGCCATAAAACATATTTATTAAAAAGTAGGTCACAGTGACCTACTTTTTAAACTTTGTGGGCATTTGATTTCAAAGCATTTTAGAGGCATAATTTGGACAATTTAAGGCCTATGATCATAAAACTTTGTAAATTGATGCATCTTGGGTCCTCAAAAAATGTCAACTGAAAAGTAGGTCACCGTGACCTACTTTTCAATTTATATGACTATAAAATTGAAAAATTATGGCTTTAATAAAATATTTCAGGAACTAATTGGCTTAGAATCATTCTTTGTCAGTTGATGCATCTTGGGTCCTTGGAGTAGGACAACTGAAAAGAAGGTCATCCTGACCTACTTTTGAAATTTTATGGCTGTATTTAATATTTTTCTGGTACTATTTGGCTTAGAATCATCAAAATTTGTCAGTTGACATATCTTGGGTCCTCACAGTAGGTCGACTGAAAAGTAGGTCACAGTGACCTACTTTTTCAATTTATATGAGTATAATTAAATATTTTCGGGTACTAATTGGCTAAGAATCATCAAACTTTGTCAGTTGATGCATCTTGGGTCTTCGGAGTAGGTCGACTCAAAAGTAGGTCACCGTGACCTACTTCTGAAAAATTATGGCTTTAATTAAATATTTAAATTAAATATTTCAGGTACTAATTGGTGTAGAATCATCAAACTTTGTCAGTTGATGCATCTTGGGTCCTTGGAGTACGGCAACTGAAAAGGAGGTCACTGTGACCTTTTTTTTGAAATTTTATGGCTTTATTTAAATATATCAGGTACTTATTGGCTTAGAATCATCAAACCTTGTCAGTTGATGCATTTTGGGTCCTCAAAGTATGTCATCCGAAAAGTAGGTCACTGTGACCTACTTTTAAAATTTTATGGCTATGATTTTAAAAATATTAATTGGCTTAGAATCATCAAACTTAGTTGATGCATCTTGGGTCCTCAGAGAATGACAAAAGATAAGTAGGTCACCATAACCAACTCTCAGATACTAATTGGCTTAGAATCATCTTGGGTTCTCAGAGTGTTTCATCTAAAATGGAGGTCATGTTGACCTACCTTTGGAATTTCAAGGCTTTATCTAAATATACAGGATACTTAGAGGCTTCAAATAGAACACAGGTAGGTTAAGGCTTCCCGTAGAATATCACAGTGCACTCTGTGCCTTCACATCTCTGAACGACCAAAATATGACGTCATAATGGAAAATGACGTCAAGTCACTGCAAACATGAGGTGTTATGACAGGGTGAGTGTCATGAACTTTACACTTTATTTCAAACTGCATGTAAAATGCTATATAGCTATTGCAAAATTCACGGGTCATTAGAAGTTGTTTAAGTCTTATATGTCCGAATATTTTAAAATTACACCGCTTACCTACTCTTGATTGAAATTCAGCATGTTCAAAATGCTTATGAAAAATATACTTTTGAAATGTACTCTGTTTTATACCCCTGGTTGGAGGTAGAGTTTATTTTGTGTGTATCAAAGAGTCTGGCGCAGGTGTTTAATGAGGATTAATCTGAGAATTTTTGTGGAAATCTGTAAGAAGAGGTTATTCTCTAAATGAATCTTGCATGGGAAAAATGTGTGTTGGCTTTGTTTTAATACAGATTACGATGTTGTGTGGAAAATATCCTCAAAATTGTAGGTTAGTTGAATTTCTCAGGAAATATTTTGTACCCAAGTAATACTATGACTTTTCCCAAGCACATTTCGGATACACAAGGATACGATGAGTTTATTTATATAACAAAATGTTAATAATTATTGTGTTAATCAGCTGCGCCGAAGCGATTTATTTGAAACACTTCAAAAAATTATAAATGACCGTCACATGATCAACAAAGTCATGTGATATCATAACAAATATGTTAATATATAGCCGAGGAAACCCTCTATATAAATTGGAAGTACTAAAGTTCAGTACTTATAAATTAAAACCAAAACCGACCTCGCAATGACATATTATGTTTTGAGCGCATTTTAAAGCTTCGGGAAGCCTTAACATTGCTGCGAAGTGATAGGTTGTACAGTTTATCAGAAGAGCGATTCAAGGCCCTTGGGCCTCTTGTCTCCTTTTCTGTTACACAATTAGTCTGAAATTACCTTTCAGGAATAAAATAAGAGCACAATTTGATTTTTAAACCTTTATTCTTTAATTATCATAAATATCAATTTGAGAACTCTGAATGAAGTCTAATGTATTTACAATTTTCATACAGATGACAGCAATAAACATGCTCTGAAGAACTTTTTTACTCATGTTAAAGCATTTACATAAGGTTAATGTACAAACAAAAAAGTAGCACTAAAGCAAATTTCAGTTCACTGATACCATTGACATTAACTTATCAAGTTTACCAAAGAAAATACTATTGTTAGATAACATGCTTTAACGAAATGCACAATAATACAAGGTCTGTTTAGATATTAAACTTTGAAAAAGAAACAAAAAAACAAAATCATGCATGCAAAGAGTCCGTTCATGCTACTCGATATTTACAAGTAATCATATAAAGAAAGGTTTGAAAGTTTTCCTTTGCATTTACCTTTTAAGTCTTTATCAAGACAGAACAGAAAAACAAAGTGGAGCAAGCAGAGAAAAAAAAATATCAGAGACAGAAAATGAAAAATAGATAATACATAAATAGCATTACAGCATTTTGACTGGTATATGGTTTTATTCATGCAAACAAGAGATGATGACTAGATTTTATGCAATCAGTTCCTCAGTACAACACACATTAAGTACTTTCTTCACCAAATTTCCAATCTTATAAGTGTTTAAGAAACATTCTATATACCACTTCAAACCCATCTTTGTGCTAAGCTAAATGCTTATACAACATATTCGCCTGGCATCCAGTTTTCTGTGTGTGTTGTGTTTCTATATTTCTATACAGGTTAACTAAAATTGTGTGGAAGAAATATATGGTCAGTGGACAAAGATACAATAAACCTATCCTTTACAAAACTGAGTTAGGGCTCAAACACACAAATGGATTCTTTCAAGGTCCCTTTCTTCTCCCTCCCTCTATAAGCTGTATAGATGGTAAGTCACAGTTTACTCATGTAAACATACACTGTACACATAAATTCCTTCTGAAAATATGTGTCTTAATTTTATTATGACAAAAATGCTTTTGTAAATATTTAGCACTGAAAAGAAATGGTAAATGAACAAAAAACAACCTGAGTGAATTGTGAGAGTAGCATCAAATGCACAAACATTGTCTATCTAGCAACATGAGAATCTTCCTCCAAAAGCAGGACAACTACATGTTTATCAACAATTATCAATGTACAATAAATAAATGTCTCCAATAGCTTTGTCAAGCTGAATCAATGATTATTCATATTTAATCAAGGAAGGCTCTGAAATATATATGTGCACATATTATCATAAGTCCCAAAATATACAAATTAGGTGGTGCATAAACAGGTGAATTGTGTCCATAAACCTTAGTGTGGCTACTGTGGCACATATTTATCAATGTTCTTTTATTTGGGTTTCTTTAATTTCTATAATACATAAGGTAGAGCTTCAATGCCTCAGGCAGGGGGAGGGTGTCAATCTTCTCAATCATGTACTTCTTCAAAAGGTCCTCAGATTGTGGTAGAACACTGGACTCGGGCTCGGATTCACTGTCTACCACAGGGCCGACTCTGCCACTCTCCTGACTACTGCTACTTGGAGAAAGCTTCTCACTGAGACTTTCTGTCATCTCCGATTCCATATTCTCTTCCAGGGCTGAGGCTTCAGACAGAGAACCTATCCCTGAGGTGGCTGTGGTGTCCACACTTGTCAATGAGATACACCTCTGTTTTCTCTCCCTTGCAGCAAGATTGGAATTTATGCTTGCCAGCACATCATCATTTTCGAGTTCAGAGTCTGAGGATATCACAGAAATTCTATTATCATCATCTTCATTTGGCATAGGGAAATTTTGCTTTGTGTCATTTGTTTCCTGAACATTTCTTTGATTTTCATTTTCTGGTGGAATTTGTGACCCAGTTTTGTCTTGCATATCACTCTCCATATCTTGTTCTGAATTGAAGATCTCATCTTCATCTTCATACAGATCACTGTCTCTCTGTTCAGACTTGGAGGGTTCTTCCTCTCTCATTTCCTCTAGGGCAGAAGCAGACGATGACCCCTGATTATTAGATGAAGACGATCTTGCCAATTCTTGTGCCTGGTTCATCACTTCCAGCAGTCTGCTGGCAAGAATCAGAGATCGATCAGAAAAGTCATGTCTGGTATCCATTCTCCTCCTTCTTGGCTCTGTGTGTTCCTCTTCGCTGTCAGTTTTTGCACGTCTGCCATTTTTCTTCACCTTTAGAGACTTTCCTTTTGCAGAGGCTTGATCCACTGACCCACAGTCCTCATCAGATACTCCATCTATAGCGGAATCCTCCTCCATTTCATCACTGTTGTCAGACACTTCTCCATTGTCATCTTTCTCTAATTCACTTTCATCACTTTCATCAAAACCATTCAAAATCATCATTCCCATACTCATGGGCAGCACATCCATTTTCTTTGGTCTACGTCTGTAGTATCTCTTTTTGGGTTTCTTTGGTTTTCTTTTTTTGATGGTTTTTAAGTCGGGATGATCATTATATATGTTTTCTCGAATTATTCTCCTAATGTCTACACGACATAGATCCTGCAGTCCTGGAATATGAACCTCAGCTGTTGAAAAAAAAACAGAATGGCAGTTTCAAAAAATATTAAGATCTCTCTGATATTACATGCACTTACAATTTTTCATTTACTCATACAATAGACTTTCACTTAAACGCTTAGATACTGTTTTAATCTTTGACAAGTTAACACCAATGATTATAAAAATATCTTTTTTGCCAACGACTCTTATTTAAATTAGAGGTTAAATGTTACATCAGCCATGATCATGACTAAGACCTCTCCCTTTCAATGAAAGTAATAAATGTTGCATAAGTAGGAAATTACCTCACAATAAGATAACTCTATAATTATGCAATTAATAAAGGAATTGCTAAATACACTTGCAACATTGCATTCCTTTTTTTACAATTTTAATGTATAGATTTTATGATTATTTTAAAACCATCTTGATCATATCTTACGGAGTTCCACCACATTGACATTTTCAGCTTGTGTTGGAGTAACCAGAGTAGCGAATGAGACAGACATCACGCTTTTGGAGCTCCACACAGTCTCCGACGTCCTAGTAATGCACACCAGCTATAATGATAAATTCACAGTTTATAAAAAATGCCATGCCAAAAGTCTAAAACTGAAAAACCATTCTATATATTTTTACTTCACAGTTATCTCTTTCAGATAAAAAACAGACCTGATCATTGAGAGGCATCACAAGTATTCCTCCAACTTTGATAAGATTCTTCATGTAGTTTTCGTGCTCTGGTGGACACGATGCTCCACAATAGACACGGTCGTACATATTACAACTGGAGGGAAGTTGGAGGCAGTTCCCAACCACAAACGATGGGGGACAGAAGTCAAATCCATCATAGTTGTTACATTTGTGTGTAAATTCTCTCAACCTCTCCTGTGCATATTCCACTACATCTGAGTGAAGCTCAATTCCATGATTTACTCCATACGGACCTATAGTGGAATTCACATATACAGGTATCAAAGATAACATCGTTCATCTTGATGAATAATATCTACATTAAGCAAAGTCTCATATCTAATGAATGTTCATGATGCATTAAGATACATATAAGTTTATCACTTCAGATTGTTATACATGCATCTAGAAAATATACTTACAGTAGACTTATTTAGCCCAGGTAAGGTTTAGAGGTACATGTACTAGTAAAGAGACCTACTACTCTAAAAAAAATAATCACTGATGCAGCATAAGCAGCAAGTCTGATATATGTATCATCAGGTGTAACATCTGATTGTTCCAGACAAAACTTACAGTTACTTAGGAATGAACCTCTCTTTAAATCTTGAATAGGGCATTCATTTTGGAAAATATAAATCAGATGCAACACTCAAAAAAAGTTAGATATTAAGTATCCATGTATGCATCATTCTTGAAGTTTGGCTTGAACCTGTTGTAAAAACTTTAACATATCACTCATCCTCAAGCTTAAAGTATGTTGACAGAGTGATTTGAGAAGAGATTTAAACAAATACATTAATCAGTGCATTTGGATAAAAATGTATATAAACTACATGTACACGTGATAAAAAAAATTTCCATGACTGAGAAGGAAATGTGTGTTTTTGAATACATTGTGCAACCCCAACTCTAAATGTATGTGAAAACTATTCATAAAATAAAAGTCATTGTACTTTTCTATGCCAACTACTGACTGTTAATTTCCAATATTAACTTTCTATTCCCCCCTTAAATTTATTTATCTTTATATTTTTTTTTTTTTTGACAAAATGATATGCATACATGAGTATAATTGAAGATACACCACTGATGTTGGATTGAATGAAAAGTTAAATTCAGTCCATTTCTATCTATATCTAATTACTTTTTTTCGTTTAAAATATAATTTCTCTTATAAATGAACTTCCATCAAACGGATAATGCAAAAGAGGTTGAACTGTTCTAGGTGTACCTAATATCAGTCCCACCATGGTACTGAGGTATCCAGTTCCACTGCCAAGGTTCAGGAAAGACAACCCTGACTTAATATCCAAACATTCCATCACTTCAGAGTATATACAAGGAGCAGATAGATGTAGGTGTCCATGTTTCCAAGCCAGATCTTTGTAGGCATTGCCTCTGTGTTCTGGCAGGTAGTAGTGAGCTCTATCTACTGCTCGGAATGCCCTCTCCACATGTGGAGATTTGATATACTCTGCATCCACCAAGTTATCCACTAATTCCTCATTGTCTTCACCTGTGCTCACTGCTCCTCCCATTATTAATAACCTTGAATGAAATAACTCATAATATTCCCTTTCAGTAACACTATAAGTGAAAATGAAAATGCAGTGATGGCATATTTTTTAATATTATAAGCTTCTCTCTCTCTTTCTCTCTCTCCATTACAATAATTATCAAACTAATTTCTGCATACTGAAAACCAAAAATGAATATGAAATTTTACTTGTCCTTTACAATTTTTTTTTCACTAATCAGAAATAAATAACTATTTTTATTTGAGTTTATTCTATAAAAGTGATTTCAAATAACCTTGTGGGAGGGTGAGATCCTCCTTATGTTACTTGATGCATTATATTCATTATGTTAAATGAATAATATGCAATATTTCAAATCTCTTGTGCTGAAATATAAACATGGCACCATGAGCAGATCCAGGAATTTCATGGGGATATCAGGCTTAAAAACACTTTTAGAAGCCATGTGTCTGGGGGCTGCCTTGACATCTCCCATCCACCCCAAACCCCAATGCTCCTGAATTTTAGAGATTTTATAAGTAAAGTGAAACCTAATAATTAGCCTCCACAGAAACTATTTTCAGGAAATTTTAGCATAAAAAATTGCAAGTATATATATATATATATAAAGATTTTGGAGTCAGACTTTGTAGTGCAAATGGTGAAGATATGTATGAACTGGATGTGTCGTTAACGCCATGAATGCCCCGCAAGCAGCCAAAATTTCAAATGCAATATTTAGTTTAAATTTGTATTCAAACTTGACCTGACTATTTTCTGATAAAATACCTGCATATGCAATTTCAACCTTTTACATACATTCCTACAAAAGTTAGAGAGCAGAAACTGAAAATTTCTTATTTTTCTAAGTTCAAGAGGGATAACTCTGTCAAAAATCATCGGACCATTACCAAATTCAAACATGACCTGTATTTTCTGATAAGATACCTGAATATGCAATTTCAACTTTATACATACATCCCTGCAAAAGTTAGAGAGCTGAAACTGAAAATTTATTTTTTTTCTAAGTTCAAGAGGGATAACTCTGTCAATAATGAGCGGACCATGACCAAATTCGAACTTGACCTGCATATTCCTATGACATATCCATATGTCAAATTTGAGTTGAATGTGTGCAACTGTTGCAGAGATAATGAAAGGAAAGTGAATGATGATGGAATGACAGAATGACTGAACAGGGTAACACTATATGCCAGGGGCTGACAAATAGATTTTTTAGGCACTTGTCCAAGGGCAAGTGCATGGTCAAAATTCACCTGCCCTACATGAATATTTGCTTGCCCCACCATCATGACCATAAACTAATACTGTATATATTTATATATAGTTCAAAAAATAGGAAGACAAATACCGAGTAGATCATGCAAGCCCCTGTGTCTAGCTTTATTTCTATGACTTACATATGGATTCAATTATTTAAAGTCACTTGTCCACGGGCAAGTGGTTGATAAAATTTCACTTGCCCACCCTTAAAATTCACAAGCCCCTGGCATCGGGCAATGGAATTTGTCATCCCCTGTACGCCCTGGCAATTTCATGGGGGCATAAAAAGAAAAAAAGCTCTTGTTCTGACTAACTCTTATCTCCCTAATTTCCTAGAACAGTGCCTACCAAAGTATTTTATATCAAAATTTTAAAAAGATGATATTCTCATCTTTTTATTTATTTCATAGCCACAGAAACTTCATGGTGTATTTAAATTCTTGTCAATCAATGATCACCATTTTTATCTGTAAATAAAACTATTTCACTTTTGAAGGTTATAGTGAAGGCATTGAAATAAATCTGAGACAAGTAAAGTTGCTTATAACTTCAGTATTGTCAGTAACTGTAGCAGGTTTGTAATTTGGAAAGTCTGACCGATTTTGGAAACTGTATTTTTCCAGTAACACTGATCGCTTAAAATCAAGTACTAGGTATAATCCATGCGTTTCTCCTGTAAAACTGATCACTTTAAATCAAGTACTGGGTATAATCCATGCAACACTGACTAATCAAGGGTACCAAATATCATTAATCTATTTTTGATATAATGACAAGTTTCCCCCTTTATTCTTCCCCTTTATTTATAAATCAGTAGCTCTATCCTAAATATACATTGTAACCTTATCTTTGGATTTTTTAGGGAGGTGCACCCCTCCCAATGCCTCTCTCTAAATCCACCAGTGAAGGTTCCTACATTATAATCAACCACCACCTTAAGATCCACCAACTTATTGACCACGAAAAAAAAATGCACTGCGTATTAGGAAATAACAATGGCCTTGTCAAAGGAAAAGGATATCATCCATGTTATACATCACAAATAGCTGGCAATACATTACTTTTAACATAACAAATCTGCAAATATTTGCTCATAACCTCAACTTCAATTACACAATGGCCTGAATGGGTAAGCAAAACTCAGATCAGCTGTCATGACACAATACGTCAAAATTTCTCCAAAACAAAGCTCAAATAAACATAGGGAAAAATTCTTTGACTTCATTTAACATTTATTTAGTAAGAATCTTACACATCTTTACCTGGTAAAATCTTATGCAGGACTGTCAGTCTCTAGTAAGTAAATTTATGAACTCAACCTGCAGCAAAATGGTCAATGTTTTTCTTCTCCTCGCATACATGTGTGACGTCATATCTACTGAAAAAGTAGAGATTGACAAATATCGTATTTAAATTATTTTCACAATGAAATCATAAAAAGTATATATTTTTTGTATGTATATGGAAAAAATTAAAGTGGGATTAAATTATTATAATTTACGAATTTATCCGATCTAAAATTAGCTAATAAAAGTTGCCGATAATTTCAGAGAACATCCGAATGGACTTTTAAGCGAATATGTTTTCCTCCCGCCGTCAGGCGCTCCTCGCAATGGCGTTCTAAACTTAGGTATTTTATACTACAATTTTTGTGTTTTACACTTTGAAAACGCCTTGGTATGCATAACTTTAAGTTTCAACAAATAGAAAAATATTTGTTCTCGTTAATACAACAGTTTTTATGGAAGATAAGTTAATTTTCATGTTGTTTTTACTATGTTTTTGAAATATGACTATCGCGTTTTCGTTTTGTAGAGCTGTTCCAAGTGAAATAGGACATCGAAAATAACAGTGTTTCTTAACTAAAACATTATGCAGGAAGTTTTAAATAGCACTAATAGAAAAACTTTTAGTTATTTTAGCAGTCTCATAATTTACAACTTCAACTTTGTCGTAGGTTTTACAATAAGTTACTTTGTATAATATTTGTTGTAGATTATGAACTGTGTCATGCATATAAAATCTCCTCTCCAAAACGAGGCATTGAACACGAAACTTTAGATCCGCATATTTTTCACATTAAAATTTTTCACTTGGGGACGTTTATCAGCATGGAATATTTTATAAACTTATTTATTATATAAAAACAAAACTTATTTGATTATTCTACATTTTTATATAATCATGAAAATTAGGGGATTTAATAAATGGTATATGTTCATTTAAAAAAAAAAAGGAAAGAAAAAAATAAGAAAAAACTTCCTCTTTTGTATGTCAGCAGATTTTTACAGATATATATGTGAACCTAAAAAGGTTTTTTTCAGTTAACTTTTTGGATATATAATTGTCAATTTTCTTATTATATATTGAGAATTTTAAAATATTTTTAAATTTTAATCTGTAGAACAAGACTTTCATGAAAAAGACATATGACTTTAAAAAAAAAACTTCGCATCATTGTAAAAAAAAAATGTTTATTTAATAGTTAGAATTTACTCAGTTTTAATTATATAATTATTTTCACAGGATTTCTTAAAAAATTCAAATGAGTTCACAACAGAATGTGGATGGTAATCCACCACCCACTAAAAAGCCAAAGCAAGATGTCACAGCCAGTGAAAACATTCCTTTTACATCTGTTACCATAGCAACCCCGGTGACCTTGATGACGACCAGTGTCACTAGCAATAACAATTTGCAGCAAGGTTCAGTTATCAGTGTTACATTTTCAAATGGTAAGCTTTAAAGTTTTAAATATTTCCTTTGAGCTACTGTTTGACACTACTAACATATGAATTGCATGGCCCTGGTATAGTCTTTATTCAAAAACAAAAAAAAAGAAGAAGACATCAACAAAAGCTCTCTCATGGAGTATCAAAACTTATCTTTTGTTGCAGTAAAATTCTTAACATCAAGACAATGATGTTTAAGAACATTTTAACTTTTTCATAGAAGAAACATTATTTTTTGTTATGAATTCATCCATGGTTATTACAGAATAGTTTATTTTCCCCTAGAAAAGATATATATTACATCAGTGATTTGTACTATAATAAATATGACACCTCTTGGGCATTAAGTAATAAACATAGTTTCAATGGTAAATGGTGACAGACCATGAAAATAACCTCCCAGTGAAATGTATACAGGTCCTTAGTAGGTTGGACCCCTATTTAAACTAATACAGCTGGTTGGACAATAAATGTTTGAAGAAAAATGAAATGTCATATCAAATGACCACAATAGGATTCTTACTGTCTATATACAAGGGTGACGTCTATCAAACCACTTGACCACACTTTCCTATTACTAAAAGTGATTATCAGATATGCACCATGATTTTGCACATTCAGCTCTGGTTGTGTAAGACAAGAAAAGCTTAATCAATGATACAGAGTCCATTTTCCACGTAGCTTTTTAGCTCACCTTAGCTAAAAGCTCAAGTGAGCTTTTCTGATCACCCGTTGTCCGTCGTCCGTCCGTCCGTCTGTAAACTTTTCACATTTTCAACTTCTTCTCAAGAACCACTGGGCCAATTTTAACCAAACTTGGTACAAAGTACCCTTGGGTGAAGGGGAGTTTAAATTGTTAAAATAAAGGGCCAAGTCTCCTTACAAGGGGAGATAATGAAGAAAAGACAAAAATAAGGTGGGGTCATTAAAAAATCTTTTTCTCAAGAACCACTGAGCCAGAAAAGCTGAAACTTTTGTGGAAGCATCCTGAGATAGTGTAGATTCTAAATTGTTAAAATCATGACCCCCGGTGGTAGGGCGGGGCCACAATAGGGAATCCAAGTTTTACATTGAAATATATAGGAAAAATCTTTAAAAATCTTCTTCTCAAGAACCACTGAGCCAGAAAAGCTGAAACTTATGTGGAAGCATCCTGGGATAGTGTAGATTCTGAATTTTTCAAATCATGACCCCCGGTGGTAGGGCGGGGCCACAATAGGGAATCCAAGTTTTACATTGAAATATATAGGAAAAATCTTTTAAAATCTTCTTCTCAAGAACCACTGAGCCAGAAAAGCTGAAACTTATGTGGAAGCATCCTGGGGCAGTGTAGATTCTGAAATGTTTAAATCATGACCCCCGGGGTTAGGGCAGGGCCACAATAGGGAATACAAGTTTTGCATTGAAATATGTAGGAAAAATCTTTAAAAATCTTCTTCTCAAGAACCACTGAGCCAGAAAAGCCAAAACTTATGTGGAAGCATCCTGGGGTAGTGTAGATTCTAAATTGTTCAAATCATGACCCCCGGGGTTAGGGCAGGGCCACAATAGGGAATACAAGTTTTGCATTGAAATATATAGGAAAAATCTTTAAAAATCTTCTTCTCAAGAACCACTGAGCCAGAAAAGCCAAAACTTATGTGGAAGCATCCTGAGGTAGTGTAGATTCTAAATTGTTCAAATCATGACCCCCGGGGGTAGGGCAGGGCCACAATAGGGAATACAAGTTTTGCATTGAAATATATAGGAAAAATCTTTAAAAATCTTCTTCTCAAGAACCACTGAGCCAGAAAAGCCAAAACTTATGTGGAAGTATCCTGGGGTAGTGTAGATTCTAAATTGTTCAAATCATGACCCCCGGTGGTAGGGCGGGGCCACAATAGGTATTACAAGGGGGGAAGTCTGGTAATGAACAGCATGGCCAAAGTTACTCAGGTGAGCGATGTGGCCCATGGGCCTCTTGTTTTTGTTTTTTTGTTTTTTTTTGGTTTTGGGGGGGGGGGGGGGGGTTGATCGGTGAATAGTTTTTCTACATTCTAATTTTTTTTTTTTTGATCGGTGAATAGTTTTTCTACATTCAAATTTTTTTTTTTGATCGGTGAATAATTTTTCTACATTCTAATCTTCTTACAGTGTTTATCCAGTTTAAGTAGAACATGGTTATTGGTATACAAATAGACATGACTGAGATTTATAATTCCATTGATTTGTTTTTTATTTCAATAAACCATGTTGCCATTTTACTAAATACAGACATTTCTGTCAACTACTTCTACAGTTTTTGTCAAACTCAGTAAAATTTCGTACACAGGTGGACTAGGTACATAAATTTACATAATTCCCAACTTCAATAAATGGTGTTGCGATGGTTTCTGAGAATAAAAGGAATTCTGTTGAATTATTTTCTTCATAACTCTTCTTTTTTTGGTTTAATTTGAAGAAAACTTGGTACACACCGAGTCACATAATTCTGTTTAGTGTTTATTGATTTTTACGGGAGTGAGCATATAAAGATCACGTAGGAATTTGCTGTACCTTAGCACTTAGTCACTGTGGTAATTGTCCCCACTAGACAAAGTTCATTGCATATTACAGTAAATCTTGGACAAAAATGGTTACTTCTTAAAACAAAACTTGTATAAATAACATTTTACAAAATTTGAAATTTTATTTTCAAGTTTCTAATTTATAACTATTGTCAAAACAAGTAAACCATTATATACTTAATGGCTATGAATGAATTTTAAACAAGCTGAAGATGTAATTTTTGATGAGAAATCTGAGGACGTTGCGTAAACTAAAATTACGTTCAAGTTATGAAGAAGCAATGCTTATGTATTGATTGATATAGTTGTATTGATGGAATAAAATTAGAGTGAATCCTTTTAGTTCTTAAATCAACTCTTTATCTTTAAAAAATATGTTAGATTTTTTGAAAGCCTTCATGTTTGTTTACTTCTAGAGGAGCCAGCTTAATTCGGACCCTTTTGATTGTAGTTTTATGCTCCTTGCTAAAATTTTGATATTTGTATACACTATTCAATGTTATCTATACATTTTGAAAGCACAAACATTTGATCATATTTTGAAACCAGTATTTGGTGACTTTTCATATGAGTGAAAAGTCTCAAAAGGGACATAAAGCAACAATCAATCAATCTTATCCTATGAGATGTCAAGATATTTAAGCTTTTAATTTTTTTTTTACAATTAAATTTTCATAAATGTTGTTAACTTTATTACTGAATTTCAAACTGGCCAGATTCTTTTAAAAAGCTACACCTTCTATTGCTTTGATCAAATTTCAATGAAACTTGGTACACAAGTAGTCTACACCAAGGTACATAACTCTTTACATCTTTTTTTTATGATAATCAATATTACCTTGGTAACTTAAAATAGAATAATCTGATACAGTCACATCAATGGAGTGATTTTGATGTTCAGTTAGGATTGTAAAAGGGGGACATTTGGGGCATAGAATCTTGTCTTCTTCCAATTAAACACCCCCAGACAAGACTGAAATTTTTCAGTGATGGTAGAAAGATTCTTCACATGATAAACTTGAAATAAAAAGGTGTGTGTTTTATTTTGAAATTAGTTTCAGTTTGCTTGGGCCAGAGACTTAAGTGAGCTATGTTGAGTTTGTCCATTATTCACCTTCTCTCTGTGGCCTGTCTGCAAAATTTTCTTGTGGGGCTAAAACCACCAAAATTAATGCAATCTTTAAAAATCTTCTTCTTTACTCCTGGACATCAAGCAGTCAAACTGTTGGTATGATTGTAATAAGCATTGACCCCTCTACCAAAATTGTGAAATTCATGGCCCCAGGGTCAGGGGTTCTGGTGCTAGGGAGGGGCTATATAGATTATATAGTGAAAGTGCATTATTTCTTTGAAAATCTTCTTCTCTGCTTCTGGGTATTAAATAAACTAATTAAGTATATAGTTATGATGAGTAAGAGTGCCTCTTCCAAAATTGTGAAATTCATGGCCCCAGGGTCAGGGGTTTTGGTGTTAGGGCGGGGCTCTATTGATTATATAGTGAAAATGCATTAGTTCTTTGAAAATCTTCTTCTCTGCTCCTGGGTATTAAATAAAGTAACTAAGTACATAGTTAGGATGAGCAAGAGTGCCTCTTTCAAAATTGTGAATTTCATGGCCCCAGGGGCAGGGGTTCTGGTGTAAGGGCGGGGCTCTATTGATTATATAGTGAAAATGCATTAATTCATTGAAAGTCTTCTTCTCTGCTCCTGGGTATTAAATAAAGAAACTAAGTACATAGTTATGATGAGCAAGAGTGCCTCTTCCAGAATTGTGAATTTCATGGCCCCAGGGTCAGGGGTTCTGGTGTTAGGGCGGGGCTCTATTGATTATGTAGTGAAAATGCATTAATTCTTTGAAAATCTTCTTCTCTGCTCCTGGGTATTAAATAAAGTAACTAAGTACATAGTTATGATGAGCAAGAGTGCCTCTTTCAAAATTATGAATTTCATGGCCCCAGGGGCAGGGGTTCTGGTGTTAGGGTGGGGCTCTATTGATTATGTAGTGAAAATGCACTAATTCTTTGAAAATCTTCTTCTCTGCTCCTGGGTATTAAATAAAGTAACTAAGTACATAGTTATGATGAGCAAGAGTGCCTCTTTCAAAATTATGAATTTTATGGCCCCAGGGGCAGGGGTTCTGGTGTTAGGGCGGGGCTCTATTGATTATGTAGTGAAAATGCCTTAATTCTTTGAAAATCTACTTCTCTGCTCCTGGGTATTATTGAAACAAATTAAATACATAGTTTTGATAAGCAAGGATGCCTCTTCCAAAATTGTGAAATTCGTGGCTCCTGGATCAGGGGTTCTGGTGTTAGAGCGGGGCTCTATTGATTTAATGTGAAAATGTTTTAATTCTTTAAAAATCTTTTTCTCTGCCCCTGGGTATTATTCAAACAAACTAAGTACATTGTTATGATAAGCAATGATGCCTCTTCCAAAATTGTGAAATTCATGGCCCCGGGGACAGGAGTTCTGGTGCTAGGGTGGGGCTATATAGATCCTGTAGTGAAGGTGAATTATTTCTTTGAAAATCTTCTTCTCTGCCCCTGGGTATTGTTTAAACAAACTAAGTACATTGTTATGATAGGCAAGGATGCCTCTTCCAAAATTGTGAATTTTATGACCCCATATTTAAGGGTTCTCGGGGGGGGGGGGGGGGGGGTGGCTTCTATTGATTATAAAGTGAAAAAGCAAAATTTATTTGAAAATATTCCTTTCTGCTTCTGGTTAAAAAAGCAATGAAGCTAAGTGTATAGTTATGACGAGCAAGAGTGCTTCTTCCAGAGTAGTGAATTTCATGACCCCTGGGTCAGATGTGCTGGTGTGAGGGTGGGGCTCTTGATAATATAGTAAAAATGCATTAATTCTATTAAATAATCCTGTTTGCTCCTTGGTGTTAAGCAGATAAACAAAGTGATTAGTTATGATGAGCAAACTTATGGTCCCAGGGTCAGAAGCTCTGGTGTTGGGGGGGGGGGGGGGGCTCTATTGATAATATAGTGAATCTGTAGTAAAAATGCATTATTTCTTTAAAAATCTTCTCTGCACCTGGGCATATCAGAGGCAAAAAGAGTAAAAGTTTTAATAAGGAAGATTATTTTTACCAGATTTTTGAACATCTGGACCATTTGGTCCTGGCCAGGGCTCTATTATTTTGTATTCTACTGAGAAGAGTTATTCCCCTTTGCCATTTACTTTTGATAATTTATCACTGTAAATAATGTACTTGAAAGGTAAATAGAATAAGATAATTATGCAAAAACTTTTATTGTGTAATACAAAAAGTACTTTCATAGTTTTAATGATCAGATAGACTTGTAAGTAGTAGATAAATAAAAATGAGACAAAAATAACTTGTCTTATTAAATGTTCATCAAGGACCAAGAGAGGCCAATGTAAGAAATTTCAACAAAGGATTAAAATAGTACAGAAGCATTGATAATTTGTTAATATACTGTATGGTGATAGTGATAAATGGGGATCAGATTTATAGAACATAATTTATAAACTGTTAATGAATATTAAGACCAATTATTTTGTTGATCATGATCACCCTATTTTTCTTGCTTTTTGGCAACAAAGTTTCACCTTTTAGTTCATATTATACTCTGTGCATCCTTTAAATTGTTGTATCATACTCAGGTGACCGTTAAGGCCCTTGGGCCTCTTGTTTTTGTTTTGTTTTTTTTTTAACAGAGGGGATGGACCCTATTCTTAAGCAGCAAATTGATAGCAAAAATATGCTGGGGTCATTAAAAGATTTTTTTCTCAAAAAAGAGACAAAAATAAAAGTTTCCCCAGCAATGACATTTATTAAATTAGATTCATAATTAATCTTGGACGGGGTGGGGGTGGGGCCTGGAATGGTCCACAGTAGGAGGCCCAAGTTTTACATAGGATTATAGGATTGTAAAGAAAAAAAGAAAGATGAATCTCCTTATGGGGAACAGCAGGGACACAGAGTTGAGTGAGAGCATCCTCATACAGTGTTATTTTAAGTTTTTTTTTCATTTCAAACCATTCCCCATGGGTATAGGATAAGACCACAATTATAAGGGATTCAAGGTTTTACATGAAATTTAAAAAAAAAATTCTGAATAAAAAAAAAAACAGTGCCACAATAAATCACATGGAATTTAAAATTAAAAAAATATCTAAAAAATAACAGACTGCCACAAAATTCAATTTCATGCAACCATTCCAATGTAATATTGATTCAAGTTTCTGGGTTTTTTTTTTTCACTAATTAAGGACATACGCAACATAGTTTGAACTTTATTTTCTTTTTCCCTGGAGTTGAAGAGTTCCAATACCTAAAGGAACTGTGTGCTAAATTTTAATGTCTATACATGCTGCTGTACACTTCTTCTAAAACAAGTTTGGATAAACAAAACATTTAGAATATATGTTTAGTATTTTTGGTATACTTTTCTTTGAATTATACAGGAATTTTCATCAACTGATATCTTTTCAAAACCCCTGGTAATGCATACTGAATTTTTGTCTACGAACATCTAATGGCATTATAATCTTAAATTAAGAATATCTTGAAAAATTATCAGCAGGTAAGGTACGTTGTGTGTGTCCTTAAAGTTACCTGATGCCAGACAGATACTGTTGAACTTATGTTTATACAAGTGAAAATTAGGCAACATAGATTTTCATTTTTCATACATATTTTTATATCAATGTCCTGTAAAGTGATAAAAAGTAGTATAGATTTTAGGTTGGTGACAAAAAGGTAGACTTTTGAACATCAAAGAAAGTTCACAATTAATTTCCTAATAATTTAGAAATTCACAGTCAAACCTCCTTATCTTGAACTCGACAGGACAAAGATTAAACTTTGAGATATCGAGGGTAAAATGTAAGGAAAAAGTGGTTAGGACTGCCAAACACTTTGCCATATCCCTGGTATTCAAGATATCTGTGTTTGAGATAACTAAGTTCAACTATTATATCAATCCAAGCATAATTTGTTTTTGTATTAATTGTCCTTAATCTATAAAAAATTAATATGAGTAGCTGATGTAGGTGACATACTGGCGTGTTACATATCCATAAAATAAATAAAAAGTGTCATTTAATGCAGCTGTGGAAAAAGCCCTCCTATTGGTTGCTCTTTTCTGATGTACATAAATAGAATATAATTTCAGAGACTTTACTTCCTAATGCAGTCCTGTTTAAAAGGATAAAGATGTTTTCTGGAATTGTTTAATAAATTTTAGTTTTTTATACATGTATTAGTATAAAAAGCGAATTTTTTTTCAATGTGAGATAATATACATTATATAATTAGCATTGTCGTTAATTAAGTAATTTATTCAGCCTTTGACTGATACATTTGTACTTATATGTATATAAATTTATGCATGCATCATATCATATCCTATCTGCATTTCATCAAAGGCAACTTCTTTTTATACACATTTTAATGGTCTTAGAATACAATCTGACTGATTCAGGGGGATTTTGGACCTAGAAATTCAATCTTTGAAAGCCTTTACCTTCATGCATGAATTCACTTGTACAGGTGTTTTCAATGTGAAACCAGCTGAGTTGGAACAACCCCAGATTGGCTCTTTGAAGCCAACATCAGGCCTTCAACCAGGAACCATGTCAGTGGTCAAGGGTAATAATTTCATCTCGCTTTTAATTTTTTGTGGTTCTTTTCTTTTCAATTCCAAAGCATTTTAGACTTCTGTCTTCATGTCATGCATGCTTACTTTTATATACTTTATTTTATTTCCTCCCCTTCCTCTGCATCCTAACAAAATTTCATTGCTCAAAAAAAAAAACACCACCAGCATTTTATTTAACTGCACAATCTATATGTCAGTAGAAAATTTGAAGATTTTGTATCACTGTTTTAATTGTATGGGGGTAGGGAAAAAAATATTTGAGTGTAAAAGTTTATGGTATTTTTTTTTAGGATTACCAGTGAATCCAGCTGGTATGAAGCTACAGAGTCAAAATGTTCAGCTTAGGGGAGCTAACCCTGTCACTTATTTTGCTCAAAATATAACGGTAAGAAATGGTGTAACACATTAGATTAATTTCAAGATAAAATCTTTTAGAGGTATATACATGTATATATAATATGAATATATATATATATATATATATATATATATATATATATATATATATATATATATATATATATGTATATATATATATATATATATATATATATATATATATATATATATATATATATATATATATATATATATATATATTCTCTTGACATAATGAAAAGAAAAAAGTGTATGAAAATAGTTTTCTGTTGTGCAAATGTGTGTAGGGATCCCAAGCACCAGGTACGTCAGTCACCGTCAAACCAGGAACCATGACTCTTGTACCACAGCAGGCCTTACCATTACAAACACTTCAGGCCCTGCAGTCCAAAGGTGCAGGACAAACCAACATACTACCAGCCCCTCTACCACTCCAGCAGCAAAACTTAAAATCTGTAAGACATTCCCAAATATGGTCTCGTAAATGTATAAGCTTACAAGAGGAATTTTGCATCGGTTATTTCTCCTTGTATGTAATAGAACAATTAATGACTGTCAAATAAATTACCTAAAGAAGTATTGAAATGATTTTATTCAAAAAGATGAAATAAATATCTAGAATTTTCATGCACCTTTTTATTAAGTTACAAAATTATCTGTGCAATAACATGTCAACAAATAAATTTTCAGGGTCAGATAACATTGGGACCTGTGACCTTAGCTCAGTACTCACAGGCATCAGTAAGCCAGCCCAGCAATGTCCTTCAAACTGCCCAAGGTCAATTGAGACCTCAGATGGTATCCAAAATGCTTCCTCAGCAGAACTTCCAAGTGAAACCACTGAATGTAGGGAAAAGCCTGATCCCCAACCAGCAAATCCACATTTCTCACATCCACAATGTAGGTGGAAAACCAGTTGCTATGTTGGCCCAATCTGCCTCTCTGGCCCAGCAACAGACTCCGGTCACCACAATGACAGCATTGAAGAGATTTCCAGGTAAATTTTTCTGAAGTTTGCTATTAAGTTCAAAAAAGATTTGGCAGGTGCCCTTTAGTAATCACCCTGTCTCTCTGTCCATCCACATTTTTTTTCATATAACTTAATGGCAGTCCTATTAAATTCAAATTTGATATGTTGTTGCAGCAGGCAGTAAGACATTAGCCATTAGTAAGATTTAGAAATTTCTATTGTCAAATTTTGTTGCCAATGGTTCCAAGAGATTAAATATAAAGTAATATTACAAATAAAAATAAAAATATCTGAAAATATTGAGTTCAAAATTAAGAACTAAAGAGTTTTAGAGAATTCCTTCATGGTATACATATCAATCACTTTATTATTGTGTAGACATGTAAATCTTACATGTATATGGAATATAATAGAAGAGATTTTACTGAGAGCAGTCTTTTACCAACATTGTTATTAGGAAGGGAATTCGGCATTTTGCCCAAATCCTTGTGTTTTTCCTCTATTACTTTGTAGTTAATAAGGACATATAGTGGAGATGTGCATATTTGCAAAAAAATTTCATTCAATTTATTTTTTCTGAGAGTTATGCCCCTTTGAACTCAGACGTTTGTCGTCCGTCAATCCTATTCTTGTCCATGCAACTCCTCCTCTTACACTGCTGAAAAGAATTTCATGAAGTTTTTCAGTTAATAAGGACATACTGTGTAGATATGTGTATTTGCAGGAAATTCTGATTCAGTTTTTTTTTTTTCTGGGACTACTGCCTCTTTTTAAGAAGATTGTTGCAAGGAAATTTGAGCAAAATTCAATGTACTATTGAAACAGTTTGTCAGTGCAACTCCTCCGAAACTGCTCAACAGACTTTCATGTAACTCTGTAGTTAATATGGACATACTGTGTAGATATGCATATTAGTGTTGTACCAATAATCAGAAAACATCGATTGTCGACGAAAAAATGCTACCGATTCCGATGATCGATTATAATTTTTCATAATCGATCATTGGAAACATACCTCTAATACAATACATTCCGGAATTATCCATTTCTGGTTTAAAATTTATTTCTTCTTAATGAAAGAAAATGGCGTCTGCATCTGATACTAGCCAACTAGCACGAGCAGAAGTGATTAAGAACCAAAAGGTGCATATATAGGGCCTAAAAACATTATGTTTGTTTCCTGTAACCCCACCGACCCATTAAATTTACCCCGGGTGGATTTTTTTCTGCCAAATCTGTGTTTGCTCTTTGGTTTGATCAATCGGCTGATTTTTTTTTATTATTCAAAAAATATTTATTGTATCTTTTATTTGAGATATAAAATATGCAACTTAGTCAACATTTACCTTAAATATATAGAGTAATCAATTTCCCCCACAACTTTTTGAAGTTCGTTTTCTGCCGCTAGGCAGCCACTGTAAATATTACATCTGGATAAATCAGTCCCGGGATGCTTGACTCCATTATTCATATAATAATAATAATAATAATTTTTAAATATCCCGACCTACCGACCTTTGATTTTTTGGGAATATTACAGGAAACAAACATGATTTTTTAGGCCTAGAAAGTGTAAAAGAAGCAAAACAACAAAGAAAATAATATATCATACATTTTATGTATTCATGGTAGAGAAATAATATGAAATAATTGTAATAGTCTGCTTTTTGTATACAAAACTATGAAATCCGATTATAATCGGTAAAATCGCATCGGAAGCAGTAACCGATTCCAACCGATGATCGATTATGAAAATTGACTGATGTCCCATCACTAATGCATATTCAAAGGGTATTCTGATTTTTATCTAGGATTTTCACAAACATCTGGAAAAGTTTAAAGGGAGGGTGTATAATTTTTTTATGTATTTAGTACATAGCATTGCCATACCTTATTTTATGTGTAGCACTGTCGAGCAATATGAGATTGTTGGGTATGTGAGCTTACCCACTTTTTCTTTCATTTATTTTAAGCAGTTTTATTCTTTGAAATGAACTATAACAATTTTTATTTTTGACATTGAAGTACCGGTATCCCCTATCAGCATGACACCCAACAGCAACATTGCCAATGCTTTGCCAACAAAAATTCGCATTCAAGGGAGTGTAGCAACAGACACCACAAACTTGTCAAAACAAGATGCCAAAGATAAAGTTATCACAGGTACAAAACATCTGCCATCCCAAACAACCACAGCCAGTGTAGGTACACCACAACAGAATGGGCTACCAGCCAAGCCAACCACAGTGGCAGTATCCACTCAGTCTCCCACATCAATGGCTTCTGCCATCCCTGTTGTACAAAAAGGCAGTCATTTTCATGTTCAGCCTGCAGCAATGACACAGGTGGGAACATTAACTACCCCGAGATTTACCCACATCATTCCTAATGCATTAACAAAAGTTGGAGTGATGACTGTGCCATTTCAAATGACTGCTTCAACCAGTGCACCATTATTGATGAGAAGTCCAGCTCCAAATGTTAGCAAAATAAATGTCTCTACACCAAGTGAATCCCAACAAGATCCTGGTAACATCCAACAGGTGTCCAAACAGGGTAGTCAGAATGAGGAAATGGACACTTCAGAAAAAAGTGAAGTAACAGAGGAAAATAAGCAGGAAGGTGTTAAGCAGGGAGAAAGCAATAAGGAATCTGAGAGAAAAAAGGTCACAGAAACAAGTGCAATGGATAATATGCCAAATTTCTTGGCTGATGTAGATTCTTTGAAGGAGAAAAAGTCTTTGAAAAGTGAATCTCAGACAAAGAAGAAGACAAGTGATACTCAAAAAGAAAAAGAGAAGGAGGAGAAATCATCAGAAAAAGAGGAGAATAAAAGCCTGGTACCTCTTACAGTGCAGACTTTGGAGGATGATTTGAAAAAGAAACCAAAAGAAAAGAAAGAAACAAAAGCAAGTGAAAAAGCTAAACCAGAGGTCACAGAGAAGGATAAATTTACAGCAGAGGTCAAACAGGAGGCAAAGGCTGAGGAAGGAGATACACCAAAGGATGGTAGCTCCTCAAAACAAGAGGAGAAAAAGGAGGTTGAGGGCAAGAGATCTGAGAAGGAGGTTGAGGGCAAAAGATCTGAAAAAGAGAAAGAGTGCAAGAGATCTGAGAAAGAGAAGGAGGACTTTGATCCTGTGGGGGCCATGGACTGGAAGGATGGAGTGGGGGAGCTCGAGGGCAGCAGTCTTAAAGTAAGCCATCTGTTTGTGATGCATTATGTATTTCTGTACCATTGTTTACAAGTCTGGGGAGAACATTGAGGAACCATTACCTTACATTGAGGTATCTTGAGATTTAGTGAAAACAGGAGTTTAATAAAGAGATATCAAGTTTCTTAAAAACAAGGTTCACTCAGGGTTTGTTTTTTTTTTTCCCCTTTGAACTTCTGAAAAATCAAAACTTCTCAGTTTTAGTTGAAAATACATTTATTTAGATTTCACGTGAACCCTTGGCGACTGCATATCTATTAAAAATTACATAATTTTCTTGCTATTCCATGTATTATGAAGTCATAAATTGCATCATAATCCTAAATCTTAAATTTTCCTCATATATGGCCCAAAAGTTTAGATTTTTATTTCAATAATTTGCATAAAGACCCCAACCTCTTATCCAAAATGTTCAATTACATAATGAAAGAACTGTTTCAGAAGATTATAATCTGTGTTTTAATTTTTTGGATTGACTTTTGGCTCATATTTTAATTCTTTGCTGAAGGTAGATGAATACACCAATTTTCTTCAAAATTCAAGAACATTGCAATTTCACAAAGCCTGTTTTTCAATACCTAGACTTTCATAGGAAACTTTTTTAAAGGAAATGAAAGCACTTAGTCTCTTCTTTATATTGATGTTTGAAATGGGACAATGGGACTTGGTCAGTTAATTGGTAAATGGGCAGGGCCATTTTATGGATAAAGTGAACCTAGTTCTTTTCTTTTAATTTTCATAAACACCGGAGTTACAAAAACGGTGAATACCAGTGATGATTTACAATTTTCAATTTACGTATTATTTTTTAAGTGTGTATATTGTTTTCAGTTTAAGATGAATGAGTTTGGAGCTTTAGAAGTGATAACAGATGAGCTGGAATGTAATGAGACTCTGGACTCCAGCACTGAAATGGATGACTCTGAAACAAAAGAGAAGGAAACAGAGGCCACTCCAGGGTGTAGTGGTGACACAGAGACAAAATCTGGGGGAAGGAAAAAAGATGGTATGCTTTGTTGGTTTTCCTTGTATGCTTTTTTGTTTACATTTCCTTTTCAGCAAGCATCACTTTAAAGCATAGCATCAAAAATTGATGATTGCACATATGGCAACAAGCTTTCCTTTATATGGGAACTGACTTTTTATGCCCCGCCATGAATATGGCCGGGGCATATAGTGTTTGTCATGTCCGTCCTTCCGCCCTTCTGTCCTTCCGTCTGTCCTTCCGTCACACTTTGCGTTTAGCTCTGTTCAAAGCTCAGTTTCAAAGAAACTATCCAAGATATTTTTATCAAACTTCATATGCTGATAGATATTGATGAGGGCTATGCAACTGCATCAACATTTTTTGACCTTGACCTTTCCTTTGACCTTGACCTCACTTTTCTTAAATTAGTGTTTAGCTCAGTTTTAAAGATACCATTCAAGATAGTGTAATCAAACTTCATATGTTGATACATACTGATGTAAGCTATTCAATTGCATCAACATTTTTTTGACCTTGACCTTTATTTTGACCTTGACCTCACTTTTCTTAAATTAATGTTTAGCTCTGTTTTAATGAAACCATTCAAGATATTTTTAACAAACTTCATATGCTGATACATACTGATGAGAGCTATTCAACTGCATCAATATTTTTTACCTTGACCTTTCCTTTGACCTTGACCTCACTTTTCTTAAATAAGTTTTTAGCTCAGTTTTAAAGATACCATTCAAGATAGTGTTATCAAACTTCATATGCTGATACATACTGATGAGAGCTATTCAACTGCAGCAAAGTTTTTTGACCTTGACCTTTCCTTTGACCTTGACCTCACTTTTCTTAAATTAGTGTCAAACTTCATATGCTGATACATACTGATGAGAGCTATTCAACTGCATCAATATTTTTTGACCTTGACCTTTCCTTTGACCTTGAACTCACTTTTCTTAAATTAGTGTTTAGCTCAGTTTTAAAGAAACCATTCATAATATTTTCATCAAACTTCATATGCTAATACATACTGATTTAACCTTTTCAACTGCATCAACATTTTTTGACCTTGACCTCACTTTTCTTAAATTAGTGTCAAACTTCATATGCTGATACATACTGATGAGAGCTATTCAACTGCATCAATATTTTTTGACCATGACCTTTCCTTTGACCTTGAACTCACTTTTCTTAAATTAGTGTTTAGCTCAGTTTTAAAGAAACCATTCATAATATTTTCATCAAACTTCATATGCTAATACATACTGATGTAACCTTTTCAACTACATCAACATTTTTTGATCTTGATCTTTCCTTTGATCTTGACCTCACTTTTCTTAAATTAGTTTCTGAATCAAATGTCATATGCTGATACATACTGATGTAAGCTATTCAACTGCAGCAATATTTTTTGACCTTGACCTTTCCTTTGACCTTGACCTCACTTTTCTCAATTTGTGTTAAAATGTTGCATTACTAATATACCCTTGGCGGGGCATTCATGTCCTATGGACATATTTCTAGTTTCTGTAATAATTTCATACTTTAAAGTGTTGCAAGTCAATTTGCTTGATGCCAAGAGAAGCAAAAAGCTAAAACAAACATTTTTTTTTTATTATTCCTAGATAAATTACCTGATGCCAGTGGAGAAGTAAGAGATGAAGTTTGTCAGTGTATGAACTGTGGAGAGTTTGGGTTTGCTAGTGAATTCTGTAAATCTGGTCGATTTTGTAGCCAATCCTGTGCTACAACCTTCACTACCAAGTAGGTCATTTTTACAACTAAACTCTTAAAATCACTAATCTGTGTATTTTTACTCCACCTGAAGAGAAGTGAAGCTATACAGTTCTCAATTATTAGGTTCTTATGTTTGAAAAAAAAAAGAGCTACAAAAATACATACTCTGTGAGACTTTTTGAATTGATAAATATTCTATTTAAAAAAATGGTCTTTTGAAGAAAAATGAGAGGGAGAGGAGGACATAGCCATTTTATGTCTAAAATGTGGAAGAAGAAAAAGAAGCTGATGTTGTTGAAAGGAACCCTAGATGAAGATGGGGTCCCTGTCAAATCTGGACCAGGCAAGTTGCTCTTGGTAGAGTTAGTTGTTTTTGGTTGCAGTTGGTTGTTTGTCCTAGCATTAAGTGTAAAAATGTAGTGCATTTTCAAATTGAAAACAAGATTTTAACTACTTTCTTTTCTTTCAAAATTAATTTGTAATTTCAGGTAGAAAACCAAAATTACATAACTGGGCTTCATACTTGGAGAGAACAAAAGCCCAAGGTGCTCCTTTAAGATTGTTTAAAGAAGTAAGTTGCCAGAGGTTGATTTAAAAAGAGACATTTTACAGCACATATTTATATTGGCTGCCTAACCTCTTAAAATTAAGAAACAGAAAAAAAAGATGAGCTAATTTTGAATAATTTTGTAATCTTTCATGAAAAATCTTTTTTTTTCTGTTTATTTTAATACTACATTAATGAATCACAGATTTTTAAAATTTTGTTTATCTTTCTTTTTTCTTTTTTTTTTTTTAGCCCTTTCCGGTGTATAAGAATGGCTTTAAGCTGGGTATGAAACTTGAGGGGGTTGATCCTAAGCACCAGTCCCTGTTTTGTGTTCTAACTGTCGCAGAAATCTGCGGGTTTAGAATCAGGCTTCACTTTGATGGATATTCAGAGTGCTATGATTTCTGGACAAATGCTGACTCTGGGTTTCTGTTTCCGGTTGGTTGGTGTGAGGAGAACAACAGAACTCTTCAGCCTCCAAAAGGTAAGAAATGAGTATTTGATTTTTAGCTCACCTCAACGAAGTTGGGGGAGCTTAGGTAATACCCTGGGTGTTGGCATCCCAGGTTAAAGTTTTTGGAGCAGTTTTCTTTTCAAGTACTTCTATGCCCTATATCAATCAGAGATGTATGGAGGATGCTTCTAGTGTGGTTCATTGTACCAGTCAAGGTTTCAGATGCTGCAATTTCAGCTAAAGAATGACCAGGTTAATGTTTTTGGAGCAGGTTAAAGTTTTTGGAGCAGGTCTCATTTCCAAGTAACTATAGGCCCTATATTGACCAAACTTGCATAGATGATACATCTAAGGGTGCACACTACTGAACTTGCTTCGGATGCTGGATCTGACCTACATTTTCTGGATGAGTGACCAGGTTAAAGTTATTGGAGCAGATCTCATTTCCAAGTAACTATAAGTCCTATATTGACCAAACTTGCATGGATGATAGACCTAAGGATGCACACTACTTAACTTGCTTCAGATGCTGGATCTGACCTATATTTTCCAGATGAGTGACCAGGTTAAAATTTTGGAGCAGATCTCATTTCCAAGTAACTATAAGCCCAAGCTTGCATGAATGATATGTCTAAGAATGCAAACTACTGGACTTGCTTGGGATGCTTGATCTGACCAACATTTTCCAGATGAGTGACCAGGTTAAAGTTTTTGGAGCAGATCTCATTTCCAAGTAACTATGAGGCCTATCTGTACCAAACTTGCATGGATGATGCATCAAGGGACGACCACTCTCAATCTTGCTTCAGATGCTGGATTTGACTTACATTTTCTGGATGAGTGACTAGTTTAAAGTTTTTAGATATGTCCATTCCCAAGTAACTACAAGCCCTATCAGACCAAAATTACATAAATGTTGCATCTAGGGATGCACACTACTAGATTATTAGTTTAGTGTGGGACTTTGCCTTACTTAAAGACAACATTCATTGAGGTGAGCTCTGTAATCTCTGATTACCTATGTGTTTATCTTATAATGACTTTAATATGTCTTTTAATCTTGTCAGAATTTTATTCTATTGTATCTTTTATATCTACAGGGTTTACCACTGATGGATTTCATTGGCTCAACTATCTGAAGTTATCAAAGGCAATTGCTGCTCCAAGGTCTTTGTTTAATAATCTTCCTCAAGAGGTAGGTGGATTCGTTTGTTTTCCATCTCTTCGCTAGCCAAGGGGTTTTGGTCTCTTTGTTTATGGGGAGCAAAGCAGACCAAAAACCCTTGATTAGCAAAGAAGTGCAGGAAAAGCACTGAAGGTGCGTTTTCCATCTGTGATGTTCTTATTCCATGTGCTGTTTTATCATTGTATTTTTTCCATTCATTGATATCTTATAGAATGTAATCCCCATCTTTGTAGCCTGTTCCCCCTCACTTATTTAAAGTGGGCCAGAAGTTGGAGTCAGTTGACAAGAAGAATAGTAATTTAATCTGTGCTTCCACTGTTAATGATGTGATGGCAAACAAAATCCTGATCCATTTTGATGGCTGGGAAGACACCTATGATTATTGGTGTGACATTACATCCATGAATATTCATCCTGTTGGCTGGTGTGAGGAAAATGGAAAAACACTCTCTCCACCCGGTGGTATGTTTCTGTTGAAAAATTTTGCAAGATTTCTAGCTCAAGAAGATAGAATCAAATATTTCAAGATGAAACTATACTGGTGGTATGTTTCTGTTGAAAAAACAAGTTACATCAGTCATTTGACTGTGTTTAGCATTTTGCCAGATTTCTAGTTCAAGAAGATAGAATCAACTATTCAAAGTCAAACCATGATGTTATTGTAAGCTTTTAATTTTATGTTACAGAATATGAAAATGTTCACTTCAACTGGCAGGAGTACTTGGAGAGGAATGAGGCAGAGGCTGTGCCAGAGAAAGCATTTAAACCAGTGAGTATTTTGAAAAAAAAAATAAGAGAATTTGAATATCAGGAATTGTACATGTGTATATCATTAAAACATTAAAAAAGATTTTAAAAGATAAAATTTGTTCATTTCCTTTACCAGCAATCCCCTGTTGGCTTTGAGGTCGGTATGAAGATTGAAGCTGTGGATAAGAGAAATCCAGTTTTGATCCGGGTAGCCACGGTGACAGAGGTGGATGGACATCTCCTGAAGCTCCACTTTGATGAGTGGGATGAGTGCTATGACTACTGGGTGGAAGACGACTGCCCTGACATCCACCCTCCAGGCTGGTGTCATAAAACAGGTCATCCACTTACCGCCCCACCCAGTACGTATCCATCGACTGCTAAATAATTTTAAAGTTTAAACATTTTAAAATCAGTGTCCAAATAATTTTACTTTGAAATTTTAAAATACCCAAAACATCAACGACCAAATAATTTCATATGATAAAACTTGAAAATGAACAAGAACTTGTTCTGTGGCATGTCTGATATTAATACTGACTGTTGTTGTAGCACCAGCTGATCTTGTCCCAGGACCCACTGGCTGTCCTATACCAGGATGTAAAGGTATAGGACACATCAAAGGTGCCAAATATACAGGTCATCACAGGTAATAAATAAGATAAAAGAAGTGACTATTTTATTCCTAATATTTTGAGTAGAATAGGTTTCATAATACAATATTTTTTGCTAGTGCTTTTGGATGTCCCTATTCACCTTTAAACATGAACAGGGAGTCTACCCTGCAGGATCGTCTGGGATCCACGCGAGCTGAGGAGGTGGTCCAAACCCCAACACCGTCCTCTCCTGTCGACTCTAGGATGATCAAATCAGAACCTCCAGACTCACCAGAAATTGTCAAGTCAGTAGTTGTAATGAAAATAAATTAATAGATATTAAATAGTTCGTAATTAGTTAATTATCATTGCCAAAAACATTTTGACATTGAGCAAAACATGCAGCCAAGGAAGTGACTCCAAAAATGTCAAAACTCATCACTTTTCAAAGATTTTGTTTGAACACCTATGTATATGACAATTAAGATTATGACATGCTGGTTCACTTGAATGTATGTACCGTATAACCGGTATTTTCTACGGTTGTCCAATTTTTGCGGATAGGACAAATCCGCAAAAATTACAATTGCAAAATATTTTTCAATACTTCTTCAGATATATATTTTATACATGCAAGTATGATAAGTGGTGCGTATGTCCTCGTTAGCAAGAAAATTCGGGTGTCATCGAAATTTGAAGATTATAGATATCAGGATTTTACCAAAACATATTGAATTAAAACGTTGCTGTAAATAGTATTAATTTAATAAGTTTATACAAAAACATCTTTTCTTGTACCTACTTCATTTTATACGGATATACATGTAAATGACTAAAGGAGATTTCGCAATTAATAGTCCAAACTCTGATAGCTGCAAACAACACATAGTAGCTTTTCTTTCTTTCTTTAACACTTTTTTCAGTGTTGTGTTTTATCTGGAGACCATAATTACTGCTTGTATACACAAAGTGGCTTGAATGTCTTGTGAATTTTACACAATGCAGACGACTGACAGGATTAGTTATGCCTCAGTGCACATGGCACCTGTGTTTGTACACGGTCAACTTTAGGTTACTTGATTATGCATTTGTTTGAGCTTAAAATATAAACACCTGATTAATTTTGATGGCAATTAACTATAAAGTGTATTTTTTAGAATATGGCTTGGATGCATTAATTATCTATATATTAAAATATTTTAATAGATCACATAAAACGTTTGTTACAATGTAGAATAAAGATTTTTTATTGTTGTTTGGGTGAACCGATACTGCAGTAATTCATTTCAATTGGGACTCAACATAATTTTACAAAGACTAACTGAAAGATAGTAGTTAATTAAGCTCAATAGCTTAATACCAGTTCTCATGCAACTTTGATCAATATGTCTCAATGAATTTATAAAACGTAAACATGGCAGCTATCTCATAATTCTTAGAGATTGGTGATCATACCCAGTAAATAATTTTTTGCGGTATAATGCAACCGCAGAAATTGAAAACGCAGAAATTAATTTGCTATCTTTTAGGGGTTAAATCGCAAAAATTTCCAACAGCAGAAAATACCCGTTATACGGTATATTGCATTAAAAAATGCACTGATTGACACTCTAATATTTGAAGTATACTTGGTCTATCAATACCAATTAGAAAGGAATAGTATATTAAAAACTTACAAGAACCGTTTTCATAGTTTAAGTTTATTGATTATAAAAGAGTAATGGAAACTTATTAGATACTAAAACTGTTTTATACATAGAGGGATATTGGTTTGTAGAAAATGCCCGACTCCAGGTTGTGATGGACAGGGTCATGTGACCGGGAAGTTTTCAGCCCATCACAAACTGTCAGGTTGTCCTAAAGCTCAGAGCAATCAGTTACAGCAGTCAATAGTGGCAGAAAACACTGTCCCCAAAAAGTCCACACGTGGGCGTAAACCAAGGTTAGCTTTTCTAGATACATATTCATGTAAATTCTTATGCTACATCTTATGTATTGTACTTGATAACATAGAAGAGAAATGTGGGATGAGGCATGACTGTGGGAGGGATTGATTTTGAAATTAAAAGATTGATATTTATATTCAACAGAATTAAAACATGAATTTTTGGTTTTTAAAAATATGTTTAAAACAATCTGATAATATTTCTTTATCTTTTCCCAAGGAGTTACTATCTAAATATGGGAGAGAGAGGACCTCCTCCAAAAACTCCCAAACTGAAATATAAACAGGAAAGAGGTAATTAATGGAGAATTTCACTGTGAAAAATTAGTTAATCAGCATTATAAACAATACAGCAAATTAAATAATTATTTTCCTTTTTTGTTTTTAGGTCAAGATGTCACTAGTCCACAAGATACCTTACAAAATGGGGTGCATAACTCAGTCTTCAAGTCAGCCATGGCAACTACACCTAACCCAAATGTCTCTCTCTGCTGGGAACAACATGTTAAGCTTTTGCCAGGTGTTCATAGGTTGAAGGGGTCAGATGTAGCAAAATGGAACATCGAACAAGTGGCAGCATTTGTCAAAACTCTCCCTGGCTGTGAGGAACATTACAAGACGTTCAAAGAGGAGGTAATTCATAAAGAAACCAGAATATAAAAGTTGATTAAGTTGTCTTTCTTCTTCCACATGTTCGGGAGACGTATCAAAATTTTGCTTATTGTCCCCAGCTTTTGCAAAAGCCAAGGGACATTGAATCTCATTCATCTTTCAGTCTGTCACAAAAACTTTAACCTTGATCATAAATTTTGAATGAGAAAAGATAGGGCAAAAAAATTGAACGTTGGTGATAACTTTTGATTGAGAGAAGATAGGGCATTCATATTTGATGCATTACCTTTTTTGTTTGATATCTTTACAGCAAATTGATGGAGAGGCTTTCCTGTTGATTTCTCAAGCAGACCTGGTCAAGATTTTAAACATTAAGTTAGGGCCGGCAATCAAGATATATAACAGCCTAATGGTGTTCAAAAATTCCCTGGATGTGTGATACTCAACTCTATTGTGATAAACGTTGATACGAGTCAGATCAAACATTCTGATTTACTCTCATTGTGCTATCTATTCTGTAAATTTTTTTTTGTTATGACTTAGTATTGCTTAAAAAGTGCTTTTTTTGCTTTCATTAATTGTTAATATTTACAGGTGTTCATTTAGTTAGATTTTTATTTAAAGAATTAGATAAAAATGCAACTTGAAGCAGCAGTAGATAATTATTTCTTTATGTATGAGAGGTATATTTTTTGAGAATTTTGTCATTATAATTGGCAGTGCATGTCTATGTAATGCAGTTCTCTATTACCTGGTTATATGGTTTTTATAATGGATTAAAATCATCTATCAAATTTGTTTATTGTTTGCTAGATATGATGTCCTTTTTCAGTTTATAGTTCATTAAATGGGAAAATTTAATGGTAATTAGTAAGTATCCATCAAATATGAATAAATAGATTTTTTTAAGTAACAAATCAAGTTGAACTTTGGTATCTTGCATTGAACATGGGTATCTCAAATACCATGGATATGTCAAAGTTAGTTATACAAGTCCTAAACACTTTTTCTTTATGTATTTTAACCCACAAATCTTGAATCCAGGATATCTCAATTTTTTTTTCTTGTCCCATCGAGTTCAAAATAATGAAGTTTTATTGTATTTTATGTTTGGATGTTTCACAGCTTTCATTACATATAAAATTACCAGTATCATGGAATACTTTTGTTCTAATTTGTTTTGATCATTCACTTAATCTATTTTTATTTTAGTAAATAATTCCTGATAAACATAGAAGTATACAAATAATAGAAGTTATCATTTAGATTGTCCATAGCTTATGATATTCTCACTAGTCAAGAATTTGTCAAGGTTAAGATCCATTGTAACACTGGAAAAGTTAGATATACAATTATATGTATACATGTACATGTTTTGTAAGACTCTTCTTTTCTGATCAATAGAGAGTAATTCATCTGTTCATCTGTAGTAAACAGAGAGTGCATATGGTGCATTTATTTAGTAAAAGAATAGATTATTTGATTTAATATTAAGGATTGATTCTACCAAGTTTATATTCTGGTACATGTATTTGTGTGCAAGTATTTGTAAAGTAAATGGAATTGTCATCATAATAGCAGATTGTCCTGTATTTCAACCAGCTGCTTGAAATTATCTATTGCCCTGGCTAATATTTCATTTTATGTTTTGAATTAATCTTTGTTAAGAAAGTAAATGTATTTGGCTGTGTTCTGTCATAACAATTACTATGATTTTCTTTATCATTAAATATAAAGATTAAATCCAAGGCTTAAGAAATCACAGCAAAATATTGTATGTTTAGCCTAAATTTTTGAGTCTTGAATTGCTTTTATAATCTTGCTGCTCACGGAGATTTAAGTGGATTTTACAATAAGCCACACCAACAATCTATGTTAATAAATGTTCAAAACAAACAAACAAAAAATCATACAAAATAATGATGAAATTGTGTGTTGAAAGAGGTACATGTACTGTACTAAAATGAAAGTTTGGTGGTAAATATGAAAAAGTTAGTTCTTCAATTTTTTAGGTCACCTGAGTCACTCAGGTGACCTATTGCTATCTGTTTTCGTCCGTCATCGTCCGTCGTGCGTCGTGTGTTAACATTTGAACATTTTCAGCTTCTTCTCTGAAACCGCTGAACCAATTTCAGCCAATTTTTGCATATGGCATCTATGTGTGAAGGGGAACAAAATTTGTGAATTTCATGGTCCCTGCCCCCCTGGGGCCTGAGGGGTGGGGCTAAAACCATCAAAATTAATGCAATCTTTAAAAATCTTCTTCTTTACTCCTGGACATCAAGCAGTCAAACTGTTGACATGATTGTAATAAGCATTGAGCCCTCTACCAAAGTTGTGAAATTCATGGCCCCAGGGTCAGGGGTTCTGGTGCTAGGGCGGGGCTATATAGATCATATAGTGAAAGTGCATTATTTCTTTGAAAATCTTCTTCTCTACTCCTTGGTATTATTGAAACAAATTGAATACATAGTTATGATAAGCAAGGGTGACTCTACCAAAATTGTGAAATTCATGGCCCCAGGGTCAGGGGTTCTGGTGCTAGGGTGGGGCTATATAGATCATATAGTGAATGTGCATTATTTCTTTGAAAATCTTCTTCTCTACTCCTGGGTATTATTTAAACAAATTAGATACAGAGTTATGATCAGCAAGGGTGACTCTACCAAAATTGTGAAATTCATGGCCCCAGGGTCAAGGGTTCTGGTGCTGGGGGGGGGGGGGGGGTATATAGATCATATAGTGAAAGTGCATTATTTCTTTAAAAATCTTCTTCTCTACTCCTTGGTATTATTGAAACAAATTAAATACAAAGTTATGATAAGCAAGAGTGACTCTACCAAAATTGTGAAATTCATAGCCCCAGGGTAAGGGGTTCTGGTGCTGGGGGGGGGGGGGGGGGCTATATAAATCATATAGTGAAAGTGCATTATTTCTTTGAAAATCTTCTTCTCTACTCCTGGGTATTATTTAAACAAATTAAATACATAGTTATGATAAGCAAGAGTAACTCTACCAAAATTGTGAATTTCATGGCCCCTGGGTCAGGGGTTCTGATGTAAGGGCGGGGCTCTATTTATTATATAGTGAAAATGCATTAATGCTTTAAAAATCTTCTTCTCTGCTTCTGGGTATTATTTAAACAAACTAAGTACATTATTATGATAAGCAAGGACACCTCTTCCAAAATTGTGAAATTCATGGCCCCAGGTACAGGGGTTCTTGTGCTAGGGTGGGGCTATATAGCTCCTACAGTGAAGGTGAATTATTTCTTTGAAAATCTTCTTCTCTGCCCCTGGGTACTATTTAAACAAACTAAGTACATTGTTATGATATGCAAGGATGCCTCTTCTAAAATTGTGAATCTCATGGCCCCAGGGTCAAGGATCCTTGTCAAAAGGGGGGGGGGGGCTCTATTGATTATATAGTGAAAAATCAAAATTTCTTTGAAAATATTCTTTTCTGCTTCTGGTTAAAAAGCAAAGAAGCTAAGTATATAGTTATGATGAGCAAGAGTGCTTCTTCCAGATTAGTGAATTGCATGACCCCTGGGTCAGATGTGCTGGTATAAGGGTGGGGCTGTTGATAATGTAGTGAAAATGCATTAATTCTATTAAATGATCCTGTCTGCTCCTTAATGTTAAGCAGTTAAACAAAGTGATTACTTATGATGAGCAAACTTGAAACTTCTGGTCCCAGGGTGAGAGGCTCTGGTGTTTCTCGGTGGTGAAGGGGGGGGGGGGGAGGGGCTCTATTGATAATATAGTGAATCTGTAGTGAAAATGCATTATTTCTTTAAAAATCTTCTCTGCACTTGGGCATATCAGACGCAAAAAGTGTAAAAGTTGTAATAAGGAAGGGTATTTTTACCAGATTTTTGAACATCTGGACCATTTGGTCAAGTGTTCTGGTCCTAGCCAGGGCTCAATTAATTTGCATTCTACTGAGAGGAGTTATTTGCCTTTGCCGTTTACTTTTGATAATTAATCATTGTAAATAATGTACATGAAAAATTAATAGAATAAGAGAATTATGCAAGAATTTTTATTGTATAATACAAAAAGTATTTTCATAGTTTTAATGATCATGTGGACTTGTAAGTAATAGATAAATAAAAATGAGACAAAAATAACTTGTCTTATTAAATGTTCATCAAAGACCAAGAGAGGCCAATGTAAGCGATTACAACAAGGAATTAAAATAGTACAAAAGCACTGATAGTTTGGTAATATACTGTATGGTGATAGTGATAATTGGGGAACAGATTAGAACCTAATTTATGAACTGTTAATGAATAGTAGACTAATTATTTTGTTGAACCTGGTCACCCTATTTTTCTTGCTTTTGGGCAACAAAGCTTCACCTTTCATTTCATTTTAATACTCTATGGATCCTCTAAATTGTTGTATTGTACTCAGGTGACCGTTAAGGCCCTTGGGCCTCTTGTTTTCTTTGGTCTCTGCTAGCAAGTTGTACTTGGAGTCGAATCACTGGATTTTTGAAAAGGGGGGGGGGGGTTTATGATGATAAATTTGAAGTACATTGTTCATGTGTCTGTTATTCATTCCAAGAATGTCTGCAGTTAATGTGTCACGCTGTTACAATAAATTTAATACACAGTGCATATGCTTTTTGTTTTATTCATCTTGATTTCATATCTCTCATCAGAAGTAAGATTTGTCCCTTGAGTGGTACTTGTTTAAGGACATACGCAAGGTACCTTACCTACTGATAATTTTTAAAGATATTCTTAATTTAAGATTATAGTGCCATCAAATGTTCATAGACAAAAAATCAGCATGAAAAGATATCAATTGATGAAAATTCTTGTATAATTCAAAGACAAATATACAAAAATTACTAAACATATATTCTAGATGTTTATCCACACTTGCTTTAGAAGTGTACAGCAGAATATATAGACATTAAAATGTAACACACAGCTCCTTTAGGTATTAGAACTCTCCAACTCCAGGGGAAAAGACTATAAAGTTCAAACTACATTGAGTATGTCCTTGAGAACGATTTCAGGTTTTGCATGTGGTGTATATTTTACAAATGACTAGTTACAAAAAGTATATATTCTACTTGGTTGTATGCATAGTGCATTATTATATTGTTTCATATGTTGTATGTTAAAGAAGTACAGCAAAACAAGCAAATAAAAACATTGGCACTGCAAAGCAAATTCTCCCCTCGCTCGCAAAAATCACCAAATCGTTACCAGTATGACTACTCAATGATGTTCCGAGTTCTTTGCGAAGTGCTGGATAGTTTGAAAAATAATATGGCTTTATGATAGACAAAGTAATGAATTAAATACGTTAAAAATTATTTGAAATATTTTACGTGTTTTACCAATCTTAATTTATTTTGTATTATCTCTTTCAAAAATGGGTGAATTTATTAAAATCGTCCACATACTTCGGTATCTCGAACACTGATATTTCCAATACCATGGATATGTCGAAGTGATTTGGAAGTCCCAAACGCTTATTCCTTAAGTATTTTACCCTGGATATCTCGAATCCTCGGATATCTCGAAGTATTTTCTCAGTCCCATCGACTTGTGTATCTTCCAAATCGATTTTGTAAATTTGTATATTTCCTCGCCCTAATAATATTGTACCATGTAAAATTGTTAATGATGTAAACATTTTTACCTACCGATAATTCGCCATAAAAATATTCAAATATTTTCGAAAACAGAAAACAATTATTTTATTTATTTTAATTATATTAAATTTGTTATTCATTCCAAGAATGTCTGCAATTAATGTAATGTGTCACGCTGTTACAATTAATTTAATACACAGTGCATATGCATCTTGATTTTCCAAATCGATTAACTTGCAAATTTGTATATTTCCTTGCTAAAGAAGCCCAGCTGTATACAATAGTTATAAACCCTTTCTACACTAATTAAAATGTTTTTATGTAAATTAATTAAGAAAATCGTGCTCAATTGATTAAGCTTGTTAAGAATTCTTGTTCTCCCCACGTACGTTTCTGGAATAAAAATTCCAAGATGGCTGTTTTGCCATGGAAACAAAAAGGGTAAATTTCTGAAATTTTGCATCTTCCGAAGTCCAGGGTTTCTGATCCACTCCGCTCCTCGTTTATGAGGAGCAGAGTGGATCAGACACCCTTGACTTGTGAAGATTGACTTTTTGTTGAGTAGTTGCTTATTTTGCTTTGCCTCCGATATTTCACCGTTGGATTCATTTGAAGGTAAATTGGGGAAGGTCCGTTTGCGATCTACTTCTTACAATTGCATTCGTAGGCTCTGTTATTCTACGAAGGGGTGTTCCAAATGAGTCCCAGTAGATGGGAGAAATATTATATAAATATTTTGACAAGAATAACAAAATTGCAATAGAAGTTGTCGCATGTAGACAAAGATGTTTCGGCTCATCATAAAGAGGGCACCAGTACATGTAATTCTAGCTCTACTGGTCATAGACAAGAAAAGCTTTTAATGTGTCCGTCGGCCTTTCGTTTGCCAGTGAACATTTTTAAGCTCACATGGGCTGAAAACCCGGGCTTTTCTAATAATAATAATAATAATAATAATACTTTATTTAAAGAAGGTAACCTGGTTAGTGCATGCACTATTCTTCCCCAGGGCCTTCTAGATATTAAGTACAGATACATATAATTATATACATACAAATATACAAATTAACTTATTGCAGTCCATATGATTACAGTCTCAGAAGTATGAATACAGAGTTTGTCTTTGTCCGATAATAATTACATATAAATAAGGAACAATCATAAACACAAGTATTTAAATATAAATACATGTACATGTAGTAAATTGAAAAGAAAAAAAAAATTATTGAAATATTTGCTCAGATATTTATTCGACGGCTAACAATGTCTGATCATCCGTTGTCCGCCGTTCGTCTGTCTGACCGTCTGTCCGTTCGTCTGTAAGCTTTTCACATTTTGAACTTCTCCTCAAGAACCACTTGGTCATTAATTTTAACAAAACTTGGTAAGAAGCATCCCTGGGTAAAGGGGATTCTAAATTATTAAAATGAAGAACCAAGCCCCCTTCCAAGGGGAGATAATCAAGAAAAAGTAAAAATAGGGAAGGATCATTAAGACATCTCAATAACCACTGGGCCAGAAAAGCTGAAGCCTATGTCAAAGCTTTGTGAGGTATTGTAAATTCTAAATTGTCGCATATGGATAAAGATGTTTCAGAAGGACCAGAAAAGCTGAAAATTAGATGAAAGCTTCTTGTGGTAGTATAGATTGTAAATTGTTCACACCATGGGCCCCATGTGGCAAATTTCCACTTTTCGGCTCTTACGTTTTTCTGGCACGTCAAATATCAAAAATGCCTGTAAAACGTCAGATATTTCGTACTAACTTTAAACGAGATTGCTGAAATCCCTGTAACATAAACTTATTTGTTAGTATCATCAGCTTAAAAATTGATCGTACTCGGATCAAGCTCTTGAATATCACATAAATTGGACGACATAAAGACAATATGCAGGTGATAGAGGAATATTACTACATAAATACAGAAAGTTGACGATCGAAAAGCTTAAGTTATCTCGTTTTTCATAAGGTTTTGTTGTTGGTTGGCCCTCGTCGTCCATAGTAAAGCATTCAATTATGAAACAGATGTGGCAGACTCTAAGGTATTCACTGGGATATAACAAGTCGACATATGAATAGAAATAACTATTGTTAATCGATTAAACATAAAATTAGATTTCAAAAAGATACATTATTAGAATTTAAGCTATTTGACCAAATGTTCGAATCTGTGTCTTCTTATAGATATTTAGGGGTGCTCTCCAGTGCCTCCGAAACTTTCTCATATGCCAAGGAAGACCTGTATAAAAAGCTTTGAAAGCATATTTTAAACTTCTAAAAGTTTTTTTGTCCTTGAAGCCAAGTGTCAAAACATCCCTTCATGTATTTGATCATACAGTAAAACCCATCTTGCTTTATGGATATGAAATATGGGGGAACATCATTCGACCTATTATTTTCCTTAAAACTTGAAAACTCTCGGTGTACTAGTATGACATTTTGATAAGTCAAAGTGTACGAATCTACACTTTAAATTTTACAAGCAGGGGCGGATCCAGGAATTGAAGTTAGGGGGGCGCAAAAAGTAGGCAGGGGGTCTGGCGAAGCCCTGGTGGGGGCCCAGGGGGCGAAGCTCCCGGAAGCTCCTGGATTTTAGAGATTTTGCAGGGTAAAAAAAGAGGTCTACCGAGTAGACATTTTTACATTTTCTCGATGAAACTATGATTTACGTTAACTTTGAGAGTTTTTTTTTGGGGGGGGGGGGCGCCGGGGACGCCCCCCCCCCCTAAATCCGCCACTGGCAAGAATATATTAGGACTGCATAGAAAAAGTGCAAACTTCCCCTCGTAATGAACTTATCTGAGCTTGGTAGGATCCCTCTTCATTGTGATATTATAAAAAGTATTTTGAATTACATGTATGTCCATAGATTAGAATGTCTAAGACATGTCATTTCCATTATTGAGAGAAGTATCTCCAAGTAAGATTAATTGGAGTAACAATATACCATCCTGGTATGGGACATTTCGTAAGATTGTAGAAATGTTTTTAAAAAGGGATTTTTTTTTAAATAAATTGCAAATTTTCAAGACAAAATGCAATAAATAAATAAATAAATAAATAAATAAATAAATAAATAAATAAATAAATAAATAAATATTTTATTTGCATATTACTTGAATCAGTGGAACTTAATAATAGTGTCACAAGAAGGTAACCTGGGCACCAAAACAAATTTTGGACTTGAAAAATATTCACTTTGCCTACCATTTGAACAAAGGAAAGTAATATGTAGGTTGTGTACACCTTCTCACAATTTACAAATAGAAAGAGGTCGTTATTTGGGCATTCCTAGAGACCAAAGACTTTGTACTAAATGCTCAATGAATGTTACTGAAGACGATAAACACACACTTTTTGAATGTTTGAATTATGTTACAGAAAGAGAGAATTAACATGATGAATATTATACAAAAACACTGTATCAATTTTGCTCATTTAAATACTGAAAATAAGTTGTTGTGGGTTCTAAACTGTGAAAATATTGAAGTGCTTTCTGCTGTTTGTGAACTGGCTAGACAAGCCATTAAATACTAATACTAGGGAGAGAATGTCACATTACAACATTTCTTTAAATGTTAAGTACATGTAAAATACGTAATTGTAAAAAAGAAAAAAAACACTTTATGTATCGTAAAAATAGTACTTTTGCATCGCAACGTGGTATCTTTTGCAATGCGAGGATTGTAGAATCTCCCCACTTTGCATTAGGATACACGGTAGTACTATTTCAATCATCAGTATTACTTACATATACAGTGTTATAAATCGTCAACTTCTATAAATACAATGACATGTACTGCATGTAGATCATTTTGTCTATCTATCTATCTATCCATCCATTTATTATATCGGTTTTTGATTCCGACGAACGGTGTTGCCATGGTTATTAAAGATATGAATGTCTGTGAAATTCTTTCAAAACGCTACTTCTCCTACAGTTTTGTCCTATTTCAATAAAACTTGTTATAGAAGTAGACTAATATAATGTCAAACAATTCTACAAATTATTGTTTGTTTATTTCGACAAACTGTGTTGTCATGGTTCCTAAAAAAGTAATTTCTATGAAATTCTTTCAAACCGCTACTTCTACAGATTTGTCCAATTTCAATAAAACGTGGAACTACAGTACATGCATGTGCTCATGTAATCTTCACCATTTACATACATTAAAATGTGGATAAACAATGTTGCAGTGTCATGAAAATAGAACATGGTGTGAAATTCTTTTAAACTCTACACCTCCTTCAGTTTTGGTCTGATTTCAGTTAAACCTGGAACGCAAGTACATGTACACGAAACTAAGACACATAATTGTACTTCTTGGTGTTACCATAGCTACTCAAAAAGAATATGTGAAAATTTTTAAAAATGATAAAAATTGATTGCAACAAAGACTTGGTACAAAAGTTTATGAAACAGCATGATACATAATTCTGTAAATAAAAAAGTTAAAAAAAAAAGTGTTTCAAGTGCGGGTGCTATTTTTTCCCCTTTGTTAAAAGAACCAACCTCTGGTTGAGTATGTGTTTGGAAAGGGGGGCGCAATTTTGTATTCCCCCCAACCACCTTGTTGCTGTGAATTGCGACAAAGAAAAATGTAATGAGTAATATATTTACGAGTAAATTTCGCTATAAAAAAGCAATATATTGACACAAAGCTAGCTGTGAGTAAGAAAATTGTGTTTATGATTGTTTATTGAAAATGAACTAATTCCAACTCTTTTTAAAATGAGATGCTTACCTATAGTTGTTCAACAAATTGACGTTTGTTCTGTTTAATCTTGATTTTAATTGTCTGTCATTAACCCCTTTTATTGTGTCATTAAATATTTTATAACAATAGACGGCTAATTATTTTGCCATTTTATTTTTTTAACATTACAATACAAACTTTTCCCTTTAATTTTGACATTTTGACATCTGTCATTATGGCAATAGGATCAAGATCTTGTATGAAATGCAGCACAATATAATATTATTATTTGCATATTATCTACTGTTATCGACTTTTTAAAAAAATCAAATTTAATTTGACAAAAAGTAAATACATAAATAAAAAATAATAATTATAATGAAAAATGAATATAAATTGGTTTTGTAACTTCTCTTTCAGCCAAATTTGAACCCTGTTCCTCCTTTCACAAATGTACAGCAAATTGTAGCTTGCTGTTTGATAAAATAAGACAAAGTACGTGACAAAAAAATTCAATCAATCGTTAATGTGAATATAAACACTTTCAAATCCGTGTATCTGTTATTCCTGTTGCGAATAATTCCTTTTAATTGGCATGAAGTGCACCGATAAGAGGGTCTGGCCTTCAACCGTTATAAAGAAAGTAAAAGACACTAAATACACAAGAAATTGTTCAAATGATTCGAATGAAAGCCATAATCACTTGGGTACATAATGAGATTTTAAGGTTAAAAGAATTCCGTGTTACGACGGTTCTTCGTCCACAATTTTAAAGTTTTTAATTTTCTCCTCTAGACTTTCACTCTTTCGTCTCTGTTTTTTCAGCCAATTCTTCTGTGCCTGACGGTATTGATCAATGAACTCATCATAGTCCTGTCTGGACAGTATCAGGCGACCGTCTGGTGCTGTAACACCAGATTCATACATAGACATATTTTTCACAACAGCCAGCTTGGCGGGAGACAAAGTGCGTTCCCTTCTTCCTTCGTCGGTTTTGGGGGTCTCTTGCTTTATGTCTGGTAAACGTAAATCACTTCCACTATTGTCGCCATCCTCTGTGGATTCTACAACTTCTTTATTCTCTTCAACTGACTGAAGGTATTGTGGTTTTGGGCGGCGTTTTGCGCTTTTTGCCATCGGAAACGATTTGCCGCAAAAGGTGACGTTGCGTCTCAATAACGTGATCTCTTCTTCCAGTGGGGCCTCTACATCCTTGGAAGACTGTGGAACCCCCATTTCCGGCGCAGTTTGACTTCTAGAGATTTCTCTTTCGTTTGTACTGGGTGGATCTTCTTTTTGTTGTCTGGGGTACATTCGAGGGGTTTTGGATACCTCACCCTCTTCCTCCTCAACATCCCCCAATGAAAAATGGCGTTTGTATCTTTCTCCAAATCGATTTCGTTTCTTTATCCGCTCTTTAACTGTTTGAAGAAACATAGTTTTTTTGCTTTGAGAAGTCGCGATTTCCATCTTCTCTGCCTGTTCTATGGACCGAATGCGCTTTTCCAGTCTCTTCTTTAAATCAAATTGCACCTGATATAAATTTCTCGACCTCAGCATCTCATATAGTTCGTGTTGGTGAAGGTAATCCTCTTCACAAGAAAATCTTATATGAAACATAAATTTGGACATTTTGCCTACTCCTTAAAAGTATTACCAGACAAATTAAATTTTAATTCTTCCTCTTCTAGTGTCGACCACAAATTAACACCTTCCAATATCGTTAAGGCTGTGATCGACCCAAGTACCCCCAATAGGGTGTTTAATTATCTGTATCGAGTATCACAGCTAGATAGAGCGCATTAGATCGGTACATTCTGCCTATCAGTTCGTTAATTGCTCGGCCATATATCGGCACGTAACCATGTATTTATAACTCAACAACATATCAAATATGGATAAAACACCATATATAACGGCCACAAATTGTCACTGTGTTCACTTTGGTAGTGAGTGTATTGTCTCCTAGCACGATGACGGTTTTTCAAACTCAATCAATTTCTCATCAATTACCATATGAATAAAAATGGCTAAACCCGAATGCAGCGGAAAATAAATAAATTTGAAAGAAATTCGATCCAATCTGCATTCTTCAAAAAAACTCAATATCTAATATTGATTCATGTTAAGCACAGGGTCTTTCCGGTGTTTGGGTAAGAGTTTAAAATGGCATACCTATAGAAAGCAACGTTGAATCAACAGATTAAATGAGCTAGCAAATATTGGTGGATTGTTTCAATAACTTTTTCTGAGGCCAGAAATCAATTTTGTAATCCCCCCATTTTGGCACAAAGCAGACACGAGTAGCCACGCATCTAATGAATCACAATTTAAGCTCCGTAAGTCCTGTGAAGCATATGTATGCAGATAAAAGGCTAGACACAAAATCTGCTCATTTAAAGTCAATGCACTAGATTTTCAGTTTCCTCTCCATTGCTTCTGTTTTCGAATACCATGAAATCGTCAGTGTTTCATCATAAAGCATGTAATCAAAACTATTGAAATTCTACGAGGGTTTAAATTATTTGAGGCATACAGAAACCAATCAGTAATCCAGTTAGCAAATATAGATTTTAAAGATTATAAAATACACAAATTCAATCCTCGTCTTCTATGTAACTTGTGGACTTCAGTTTTATTTTATTTTATTTAAGATTGTTTTTTTTGTTTGTTCAAAGTTTATTTTCGTTCAGTCTTCCTTTGTTTTGTGTTGTTTGTTTGTTTGTTTTTTTTAAAATATTTTTGAATTTAAGAAAACCATTCTTAAAAGGGACTGTCAATGAATCATTGACGATTTCCAAAACATTATCTCTGCATTTTACTGCCATCCTTGCAAAGGCAACAGACAGTTGTAAAAATCGTTAATAAACCAAATTCTTGCAACAAATAAAAAGTATTGACCCGTAATGAAAAATCTATAAGGATGGCAATATATAACATGCCAATGATAAACACCGCTCACTCGAGTCATTATTTGAAAACGCGTTTCAACAAGGAAATTTGGTTTTAAATATTTTCTTAAAAAAAAATACGAGTACAAAATTTGTATGGTTCAATGTTGGCACGTGATGTGTTTTCAAATGCACGAGCTTTTTTTGCTACCAATTCCAAAAATTATTTCTTGTTGCTCGTTTGTGGTTTTCCGCGAATCCATATACTGCTACCCCGAAAAAAATTCTGCTTTTCCACGTCAAAACATAACTGCTTTTCCGCGTTTTTTTTAAAAAGGAAGTTCTTCCGTAAGCCAGGTAATATTTATTGCCTCCTGTTGACCACAGGGAGGCGGAAGAAGAGTTTTAACAAGGAATAGTTTTTAAAATGTAAAACACCCTTAAAAGACCAAGCACTATACGTTAAAAAAAAAGTTTAAATAGGGTCTGTCAAAATTTTGTTTAATCCTAAAATATTAACATTTCGGTGCAAGTCGAATAGATTTGATAAATTGACAATTGGTTCTCTGATTTAAAATTTCTGAAACTGCTGAAAAGACCACGGATGAGTTCTTGCTCTGATCTTGTAAGAATAGACAGCCATTGCAACTTTACATAAGGGGTGGTAAACTTCAAGACCCCCCCCCCCCCAAACAACAAAACAAAAATAACAACCAACCACCCAACCAAACGTAACAACTGGGATTAAAACAAAAAGTATTTAAATACAGGTAGTCGCATATTATCTGTGGTCATGAAAACAAAAATTACGGAAAAGACAAATCAAAGATCTTTAACATTATTACATGTAGTGCTTAGCAATTGAATTAATTAAAGACACTAGGCTTGCCAAGAGGGATACAAATTAAGAAAACTGATGACTTGTACTGATACTGAGGGGAAAAAACTAGTTATTTTCCGTACATATTCTTGTGTAAAACATATTCTGTTCCTTCTCCGGTAACAGCAGTGCTTTCACATGCACTGACGTTTTAAACCTTTCTCTTCATTGATAAAAAAATCCCTTTACTTTTTAATAACTATAGTATGGGGATTTTTTTTTTTGCTTTAGACCTCAAAGGCCTGTGAATGCTTTAGATAAACTGAAATACACACCGCTCGAGTTTCCTCTCATTTCAATTTCAGCCACTAAAGTCTTATTAAGATGTTTTCCTTGAACTGCTTTCTCAACTCTGAATCTTGGGGCTATGAATTGGACAATCTATGGTTCAGGTGAGCTAAAAAGAGCTCTGTTTGAAAATGAGAACCGAATTGCACTTGCACAAAGTCCTTGTAATCTCAGCAATCCTACGACTTAAATAATTGTTTCCTTCTCTATTTAAACACACAGGAAGAACTTGAGAACAAAGACAAGGCCAAATATCGCTTCTATTTATTCATGAATTTATCACATTTATTCATGATCTTAAACAAATATCACTGGACGGATATGAAACATACATTAACAATTAAATTACTCACTAAAATACACTTTCTCTCATGATTAAATAAAATGCACTATAAATCTTTATATCACAGTCTGATAACAAATCCTAATATCTCCTTGTCATTCAAAAACAGCTGTTTTAAAGGTTCAATCATCGATTTCTAATCAGTGAGGCCACGTAGACCCACACAGATAACACATCATTAGGGTAGGGGTGAATGTAAACTGCCAGGGCAAATTCCACATCACTGGTCTCGTGAGCATGAACTCGAGTGGAGAACACAGCATCCACAATAGATGTGATCTCACTGTAAGGCATGTTGATGGGGAAGCCAGACACTTTGTAGGAGGAGAATGTGTATTCTAACTCCGATAGGTGTTGCTCACCTGGGTTACGGCCAAGATTATTCTCCAAACTGTGGCAAGAAAATATTTCAAATGATTTCTTGCTATAAAATGGAGGAATTACACCATAAAACTTTTACTTTTAGAGAAAATTCTGGTACATCATAAATTCAGAGTAAAGACAAAACATATCCCCTTTCTTCTTTGCTATGTGGATTATAGAACTAGGCAATGTCCATTGGGGCATAAATTTATTCCAAATCATTTTTTATTAAATCCTCTCATTAATTGAAAACTAAAGATCTTCATTTCTATATAAGCTGCCCCCTTTCAAAAACAAAACAAAACAAAAAGATAAAGAGATGAATATTACTGAATAAGAATTCTTACAAAGGGAGGAGTTTTCTCATGATCTGGGTACAGTGTCGGTTCCAGCGGGTAATTAGCCTACTCCTCCACTCCATTATCTTGTTTTTCAGTAGCATTTCAATTTTCTCTTGAAGGTCAAGAACTGCATTCCTGTTAGTGGGTTTATAGTACAGTCTCTCGGGCTGAAAAGAAAGTTTTCATTTAAACATTACCAGTACACTTTGAACTCAAGATTTGTTCAAATTGTTCCAATCATGGCTGAAAAGGACACATGAAAGTTTTACAGAAAATCATATATAAAAAAAAAGGCCATAGAGATGTGCCATAAGATAAGGTCCTTCATATTGCTTAGATGACCATGAAGGCCCATGGGTCCCTTGTCCAATAAAGCAGCAAGGTAGCAAAGTTTTGATAGAAATTTGTTCATTTGCACAATTGTTTTAGCCTGTCAATATATGAAATAATGCAACCCTTCAGTATAGAAATCTGAGTTTATCTTGTGAAAACTGTCCATATGAATTGTAACAGGAATAATCACCTGGTAGCTTGCAATGCCTGTGTTCGGAAAACTGCGAGAGAAAAATGGCCTCCAAGAGGAACCTTGGGAAAGGTCAAAGTTCATCTGCGCAGGTTTTTCATATTGTTGAACATTTCCCCATATCTAAAACAAATATTCAAATACAGTATTACTTAATCTGTAGCCCAATTAATCATAAAACAAATTTTCCTTCAATACTTGAAATCTGTTGACCTACATTTTCTGCATTGATCAAGCAGCTTATGGACTGTAGAGGACAGTAGCTGTCATGGTAACTGAAATGTTCGCCAGTCCCAGCATTCCAGATCCAATAATCACTTTCCTGCTCTGTCATTACATATGCTGTGGGGCCCTCAGGGATACCTTTTCCTAAATAAGGAATAAGAAATTATTACATGTACTTAGAAAGGTCATCTCATTACCAGCATTGGCCATCAATTACAGAAATTTTACATATAGTCAATAATTTGTACAAGTAAAGAACAAGTACACTGGGTATATACAGTTGAATTTTCAGGTTTTCAACATCGATATCTCGATTACCATGGATATGTAGAATCTGACTGGAAGTCCCAATCATTTTTTCTTTATGTATTTTAGCCGCAGTATTTCAATATCTTAAATCTTTGTTTATCTTGAAAAGTCAGTATCTTAAATTTTTGGTTTTCTTGAAGGGTTTTCTTGGTCCCATCAAGTTCAGGAAGAGGTTTGACTGTATTTTCAATTGTAATATCTTTTTTTTTTCTTCCACATATCATAATGAAAGGTATGTAAGGAGAAGTTTACCAATGATAAGCCAAGTTGTCTTCTTCATATACATAAAGTAGTTGGCCAGTAAGACTGCATGCTCTTCCTCATCTCCAGCCATCATCTGAAGGAATTGCTGGAAGGCAAAGAAAATGTGGAAAACTATTAAAACCTCTATAGTCAATTACATGTACATTAATGTAACATGTCCTGTGACATCTGACATGCATGCTCAAATCCTATATTTCTCCAGTGCTTACGATTCTTACATAAACTGGACACTGCAATACAGCTTGGACGAGACATGACTTGTAAGTATTGGGAGTTACAGGACACCTGCTCCTGACCATAGTCTATTAACCTTGGAAACCAACTTAAAGGGTATATACATGTAACACATTACTTTCTTTGGTACAGGCCTATTGTAAATATTTATTGACTTACATCACATGTGCTCCAGATGTCACAGAGTCCTGGAAACACCACACTGTCAGACACGGACGGGATCATAGACACATAACGGGCAACGATCTCCTATAATACAAAACATAGTCAAAATCATAGACACATAACGGGCAACTATCTTCTATAATACAAAACATAGTCAAAATCATAGACACATAATGGGCAACTATCTCCTGTAATACAAAATATAGTCCAAATCATACACACATAATGGGCAACTATCTCCTATAGATACAAAACATAATCAAAATCATAGACACATAACGGGCAACTATCTCCTATAGATACAAAACATAGTCAAAATCATAGACACATAACGGGCAACTATCTCCTATAAATACAAAACATAGTCAAATGTTACCCTAGATATAAAATCATTAATACTGACTACTGACATTACAGTGTTCAGGAAATAGCAATAAAAAAAACCTTAAAATTAGATTTCACAAATTTCTGTTCAATATTTCACTGGAAAAGTGGACAAGGACAGATTCACAGATGTACAGCTAGAAAGATGCTAAGCAAACTTTGATCTGAATAATTTTCTTGAGGCACAGGCTGAGCTAAGCTAAAATTTACCTTTGATAAGTTAATAGAAATATTCAATATCATCTTTCTTACCATTTTCTTAACCTCTGTATCTTGGTTTTCAAATATCTCTGGTGGGGGCTCCAGGGCTTTGAAGTATCGAGTGACAAACACAGTTTTACCATTGACATCTATGACAGTTGTTTTGTATTCTCTGTCCTTGAACTTGGCATTTAGTGTTTTTTCCCAGTTTTCAGCATATTGCAGCAGTTTCTCATCTTCTGTTGTCGCAAACTACACAAAATATTTTAAAATGGTGTTAAAAGAACCATAACTCTAAGAGTACCAGCATCATGTACTGATATTATAAAGGTAAGAGAAAATAAGTTACTTTGAAATAGGCAATTTAAAAGACAATATTCTAACTCAAAGCTTACACAGCACTGAATTAATGGCACATCTTTAACAATATCCATGAACAGGCTTACCCTTTCTCTCATTGGTTCAGGAGGTTGTAGAGGGGGTTCTATCGTCAAAAATATACTGACATAAGTATTGTCCTCATGGGAGTTGGATGGCCCTACATCCTCATCAGGCCCCTGTGTGTACCCCAACAAAATGGGGGGCTTGTTCAGCTTAAAAGTGCCCTCAATCTGCAAGGATAGAAATCAGATTATGAGGGATCCTCTTTTTTTGGCAATGCAATAGAATATAACTTCATACATGATTTCAAATAATAATGGTCCTTTTTTTACCTTTCCATTGAAGTAGACAGTAGAGAATGGAATGGTCAGCCCTCCCAGCCATTTCTTCTCTATCCTCTGATGTACAGTGGTGCCTCTCTGCCGGTCATCCTACATACAAATTTAAAGGACCAATACATGATTCACCATAGTTAAATATCTCACTACACAGTCACAAAAGTACTCATACTGACAATCTACATACGATACCAGCAATGCATGGATCTTTAAAACAAAGTATAACTAATTTCATTTTATATCTTAACATTAGTTTTTTCTTTTGATATCATTTTTACCTCCTGTATATCTATTAACACTTGATCAAACAGATTAAGGTAGATGTTATCTGTCACAGTCTGCAGATTTCCTGGTGTGTAGTCATCGTTTGGTGCCCTGAAACAAAGATTCATAGTCACCCTTCACCTTATTATTAACACCAAACAAAGAAGTTTTCTTTTAAAAGCTAAATTCTTAATGTTTTGTCATTTGATACTGCAAAGTATACAGGTGAAAAAAAAGTCAATCAAACCCATGTGCTTTTTCATAAAATTCTGTTTTTCTTACTTAAATGGCATCTCCAGTTCTTCATTAAAGCTTGGATTTGGACCATCTGCAATCTCAGTCTGGAGGAATACATCTTGGAACATGACTTCAATAAAAGGCTGCACCTGGGTCTGTAAAATTATGTTATACATGTACAACATGAACATGTTTGCACAGTATTGAAGAAAAAGGTACAAGTAATAGATCATAATCATAACACAAAATTATGATTCAAGAATTAAATAATAGCAAAACCCCAGAGAAATGTTCCAATGTATATCTGTTGTCTTTGAGTTGATTGTACTGACCTCTCCTATAATGTTCTTAACTCCCTTATCAGGCTCCCGAGCTGTCATAGCTCCACCCTGACTGCAATACAATTGAACAGTTATCATAAGTAATATTTATACAGAAAACATACATGTATATCAAAAGTTGAACAAAAGAAGAATTCATGAGGAAATATAAATTTCTGCTAACTAAATTTATTTCATAGATGCAGTTCTGTAACTACATATGATGGACAGTTATTGAAGCACTGAATACTTTTGAGCATATGATTTTCCTATACAGCATTCACTATCTACAATATACGTATATGTACTAAATAAGCATGTAATGAAATCCTGAGGAGAAATTGTCATATTTTCTGTGACTTAATGTTTGAAAAGAAAAAAAATCAGTCTATACACCTAGGTTTATATTCATAGTGTATATCAAAAAGATCTAAAATCTGACATTTATCTTTTATTTACTTATTTTTTTAATGTAAGTCACCACCATGACACTCTTTTGTCAATGAAATATTTTAAAACAATTAACAGACAATTATGAGTGCAATTCTTTGTAAATCTTCTTTTCAAGAACAACAAAGCCATGATTAGTCATATTATTATAGAAGCATCCTCAGGTATTGCAGATTCAGTTTTGTTCAAATCTTGATCCCCCAGGAGTAGGGTTGGACCACAATAGGCAATCAAAGTTTGACATAGGAATAATAGAAAAAAATCGTTAAAAAATCCTCTTCTCAAGGATAGCAGAGGCATGATTAATCATATTGATATGAAGCATCTTCAGGTAGTGTAGATTCAAATTTGTTCCAATCATAACCCCCAAGAAGTAGGGTGGGGCCACAACAGGTAACCAAAGTGTAAAAGAAAAATCTTTTCGAGAAAAGCTAAGCCATAATTAGTCCTATTGATTCTTCTGCTCCTAACTTGCAGAAGTAAAGTGAACTGAAAAGCCTTGTGATTGTCCTGCTTTTAAATTTTGATTAATTTAGTTGGAATGAGTTTCATCCACACTTTCAATGCAAGCAATAACCATTTCTTTAAGACTAACTAAATGTTGAATTACGTACAATTTAATGAAAAACAAGCCATGAAACCATACTATACTAGCCTAATTTAATATTATAAAACTCAAAGCAGTTAGCTAAAGTATACCCAGAATGTCTGAAGGAAGAAACAAAAGTAAACATTTATTAAATCTTATAATATCATCAAAAATATATATATATAAAAAAAAGGTAGGATATCAAGTTAAAAATATCAGAAAAATTAGATATTACATGGGAAGAAAATAAAATAAATTTGAGGATTTTTCTGTTTTTATTAATGATGTCATAATTAACAATATGTATAGGAAACAAAGGAAATGGTATTAATATCAGATTTAATACACAACTAGACAAAGATATATATTTGGACAAGGGAATAGTTTGGACAAGGGAATAGTACATGTAGAAATCTTACATTAAAATCAGTGTTGGACGTTTAAGCAGATTGATGGAATGTTTTGGTGGGGGAAAAAAATGGATGTTTAAGCAGAAAATTTGTTGACATTTAGCAGAAGATTTATAGGATACTTTTTTCAAATAGATTTAAAAAGATTTAAAATAGGCATTGACATTTTATTCCAACTTTACATTGATTGTTCAGAAAGAACTAAAATTATCTTTGAAAAAATTCTGTTAAAATGTCCTTTGAATTTTTACATGTAATCAATTCTTCTGCTAAAATGTCTACTAAAGTTCCCACTAAAATGTCCATTTACATCTTTAGAAATTCCACTAAAATGTCCTGTGCACTTTTAAAACATTATTTAAGAATTTCCCTTATTTTACCTGGTTGTGACTCTCCTTGGGACATACACAGCTCGATTGATGTTGACGAGGATCTTGACATTTTCGATGGTTTGGGGGACTACTTTTTTCCTTTCCTTTCGTTCCACTCGCAGTGGTCTTCTTCTCTCCGTCAGTTTGAGTACACTTGTACCAAGCAAACTATAAAAACATCACAAACAAAATAAGATCATTGTCACTCAAAAATAGCAAAACATGCTAACAGCCAACACCATGATTAGCTTCTACGTGTATAACTAAGGAACTACAAAAATGCACTTACAACAAATTGCCAGGGACAAACGATTTTACTTTATTACAGGTTTATAATATGTTTCAAAGTCACGACGAATGAAAATCACTTTGCTGTAAGCGCCAATTCATCATAATCATGTTTGCTATAAGTGTGTTTTACTGTACTCTGTAACTGTTTAATCAGAGAAATATTTTTCTTAAAAGCCATTTCCGCTCCTGTGCTATCACTTTTAGAATTGAGAAGATTTTTGTTCTAAGCATATAGGCTCATTAAAGAGTGATAATATGCCCAGTGTTAGGCATGACAATTTTTAGAGGTTTGACCAAGCTAACATGAAAAAATGAAGATGACATACGCTATATTTGGCACCGCCTCCTCATTGATGACATCATCCAGACGTCTCTGATGGGCCAGCAGACGGAACCTTCTGATCACCTGCTCCCTTACCTAAAACATTCAATTCACCAGGATCATTCTCATTTTTAACCATGTCATTTGTCTTAGCCTGATGGTGTACAACAAATCTGTCTCCAAGCTATTATATGAATTACGGTAACTTACCCTCTGCATGAACTTTGACACTGCTGCCCTATGAGTTTCAATATCTTTATCCTCCTTGTATTTTTCTTCCTCCCTTTTCTTCTTCTCATACTCCTAGAAGATTAATTTTCATTAAGAAACATTACTGGGTTACATGTATTGCACATTGACATTCAGGAGTCTACAGAATTTTACAATTTTTCCCCACAAGTGGGAGGAGAATAACTTCAGTTTTTTTTTTTCTTACTGTGAATGTATCCCTGGGAATATCTCTATCGAGAAGTGGCACCATTTTATAATTCTTGAACTCTGTCACTTCGCTGTCTCTGAGATGGATAAGTTTAAATCGTTTACTTTCCTCAATAGCCTCATCTTCACAGAAATTAAACTCTTCTTGCATTTGTTCCAAACGAAAGTAGTCTTTTGGTGCAAGCAGGGTTGGGTCACCTCCCTTAGGCTAAAATAAAACTGAAATGATATTTTTCTCCTCGATATGATATTAAAAAGGGGCATGAATTTGAAAAAGTGTACCTTAAGCATGTATACAAGATCAGCATTAGCTGGATCATTTGGATCAAGTCTGGATTCTTCAAACCATTTAGCCAGTTTCTGGATGTCCACTATTCCGGAGGCTCCAATAGCTGAGACTGGGTCCATCTTCCTCATAGCACTATAAAACAGATTGATTAATTTTTTTGAAAAAAACTTTTATATTATGTTATACTTTTTTTAATAAGTGCCAATCATTAAAATTTAATGACATTTAAAATAAAATCCTATAATTTACAAAGAAAGTGCAAATTTGAATCCTGTAAAATAACCTTGTACAAAGTACATGTATTTGGATTTCCATGATTTTTCATTAATCACTCTATTTTGAATTCATGGAATTTTTACTGACGCAAGCTTGTTTGACCTGATTCTTTTGTTTTTTTCTCTCCATTATTTACTGCTTTTCCACTGGATAATGAAAAACACATATACTGCCCCTGACACTTACTAGAACAAGTTGCTTTGTTCCTGTGAACTTGGTGGTACCAGGGGCTGCCCCTGCTCATTGACGGCCCATGCCACAGAGCTCCTCAGCTCTCCCGTGGTGTACAGAATCTCTGTCAGTTCTTTTTTAGCTCCAGAGGTAAAAGGTACACCTGTGAACAGGAAAACCTTAGATTTAGACTTGTGTAAACTTCAGAGTAATTCATGAAGCTTTTTTGTTGATCGACTTAATTGAGAACTATATGTATATATACAAGTGTACATGATTTTCTTTTTACCCTTTTTTGATGTGCAGCAACAAAACAGTAAAATGATGGAGATGACAAAGCTTTTACTTGAAAAATTAATTACACAACTGTTTTTGTATACGTACCACTACCCACGCCTTCATGTCCATGGCTGACTTTGTGATCACTGCTGAAGTCTAAGTTCTCTAGCTGAACACTCTGGGAGGTAACAGAAGCGTCTGGAATACTAGAGTTTATCTCACAAAGCATCTCTCCTCCAAAGCCATAGCTCTCATATACCTTGATAGAATAAAAAGATATTAAGAACCAAACATTAATTACAGTATGTAACTTATCTGATATGGAACATCTCTTTCTATGTACGTTGTACATGTGTTTATTCTAGGTAGAACATTTAATGGAATTAAAACACAAGATTTTGTGATTTACATGAACGTTCTGCAGACTAAAACTTTTTTTTTGTCTTACAAAAAATGTATGAACATTAATATGTGGGAGATAAAAAAAAAACCCAGAACTTAATATTCTTTACCTGATATGTGATACTTTCAGGCCACTGCACTATTTTCAAGTTGAATATCTGACCAAAATTTAGTTTGAATTCCTGTGTCAATGGTCTAGAAAAACAAAATTCTCAATGCAAAATGCATAATTATATATATATTCAAATTTTGCAATTGTAATTTAAAGTTTCTTTTTAATAAAATAATCCTCAATACACAAATGCTTTTATATATATATAATTTAATCATGGTCAATATGTAGTGAATGTCGTTACACGTTATGACCAGATTTTTTACTCTCCAAATCTGGTCATGACCAGATTTTCACATGTTGGAGGTTGGCAAGTATGGACCAAAATAAAAACTGTAATCACAGAAAAATGGTAGAGAATGAGCAGATGACACTTTGCAACTTTATTGTTTCACCAATAATAGCACTATTTGGAAATATATTCATGGGGGTGACTGTAACGTTACACAAACATCGTTTACCGGTAAAAGAAAATGTGCAAACATACTTTGCCGTAGTCCTTGATACTTCTTTGTTGTTGAATAAAACCTTGAGGAACATTTTACATTTACTGACATCTTCTCGCCTTTGCTGCTCTGCTCTGTAATGATAAGATGTCATGAGTGGTCAAAACGATGCATTTTCACTTTAGCCTTATTTCTGATTCAATATACATATAGCTAATGGAAATTTCTGAAAGAATTCCAACAAATATAAACTACAGAATCATTATTTACTGCCCTCTCTACAGAGTTTTTGTGCCTTACTTTGGACATTTAGTGTCTCTGTGATTGGCTTGCTGCCTTTCCAAGGACAACTGGCCTCTGAGATTGTGTGTTGCCTTACTTTGGATATTTATTGACCACTTTGATTGGCAGGGTGCCTTACTTTAGACATGAACTGACCTAAGTGATTGGTAGACTGCCTTACTTAAGACCTGAACTGACCTCTGTGAGTTTGTGGATTGTATTTACCGGACATTTACTAGTCTAAGTAATTTTATTGTGATGAGTCTGTGCCTTACCTTGGACATTTACTGGCCTCTGTGATTGACTGGGTACTAGTCACCTCGGGGTACATTTTGGGTTCCCCTGGCCTCCTCCTGATTTCCTTAACTTTGGCAATGATTTCTTTCCTGGCCTGTTCTCTGTTGAATTCGTCCGGTTTGTCTGGGAGCTCAATCTCAGGTTCATTTAATATCTCCTGATCCTTAGCTTCTTCCTCCTGGAAAGAGAAAACAGATCTTTTCTGCACGAAAACTCATGCACTTTTTACTCTTACACAATTTAGCTCACATCCTAAAAGCAATGAAGTGGGTGACACTTCCTCAGTAAAGCCATCTAAAGGAACATTTTGCACAAACTGAAATGATGACATATCGATGGAAGTTTCAAACCATATACCGGATTAGGTTCATTTTCAGCACTAAGTCGTGAAGCTTTGGATCCCATGGAGCCTTTTGAGCCTTTAGATTGTTTACGACCTCGCTTGTGTATCCTAACTCGAGCCTCTTCCTACAAAATACAAACCAATCAATTTCTTAACCTAAGTGTTTCTCATAACTAAGTTAATTATGCCAATTTTTTTTTACAGTTATTATACATATATACATGTAATTCAAAACTATCTCCTAAATGTAAGAATTCCTCATAATCAAATACATGTACTTTAAGCAAGTTTAACTGTACATCCAATTCAAGTACATATTGAAATAATCTTCATACAGAACATTTTATTCCATTTACACAAAACATTTTTTCCTTCAAAATCAGACACGGGATATGTAGAGTTACTCATCTTTTGTCACTGATCTACCAGGAATTTAATGTTTGTGTCTAGTTCTACAAGATTTTAAAATTCAAGAATAGCAAACTGTAATTTCATGTAAATATTTAAGAGCATATATGATCCACTCAGTGTTTCTCTCTAACTTTGGTCAGAGTGTACATGTGGTGTTCTGTTTACATGTGTGGCATTTCCTTACAGTGTGCAGGTGTCTGCTTTAGTATGTGGTGTCTGCTTATATTCTGCTACTATTGCTTACAGTTTGTGGTGTCTATATGCAGAATATGTATTCTGCCTATGGTGTGTGTGGGATATTTGGTGTGGTGTCTTGTTACAGTAAGTGATATCCGTTTCGAGTGTATTGTGTCTGCTTTCAGAACGTATTGTCTGTTTTAGAATGTGTGGAGATATCTAGTATAGTGTGCAGTAACTTAGCTGTAGGTACCTTGGCTTTCCTCTGCTCTGCCTGCTTCTTCACTGCTTCCTCGTATTCTGCCATCTTCTTCTTATAAATCTCCATAGCCTCTTCCTCCACCTCCTCCAGCTCATCCTCAATCTCCAGCTTCCACTGGGTCGTGTCCTTTTCTTTGTTTGTGTCCTCTCTGTCATCATTCAATCAAAAAATCCTCATGTTTGTCTCATTTTTTAAATAATCAAAATCATACCACAAATTTCAGATCTATGTTCTGATGCTGATTTTTTAATTAGATTTTACGACTGAATTAATTTCTTCTATTAGAAGTCTTCTTCACTGAACTTGATACTTACGTGATGACCTGAAGCTTAACAGGGGTGTTAACATACTTCTGCTTCTCTCTCTGTTGTTTGATTTCTTTCCACGTTTTTATAATGGCTTTTAGAAGCAGACGATCTGTCCTTTCCTCTTTATCCCTCAAGTTTCTTGCTCGTCTGGAAAGTAAAACATCTTTACTTCATATAGTACATGTACATGTACACAAAAAATGAACTCTCCAAAATGACATATCTTGATTTATTCAATTAAAAAAAATCACAGAAAATCATTTTACATTATTTAATGCTTTATCAATTTACCTGATTTCATCTTTGTAATCTTGGAGTCTCCTCTCAAAGTTTGAGCGATCTGCATAGTCATGTTCTGACTGCAAGAAAAACAAAGTTGTTCAGACTTTCGATGTGATCGAAAACCACATGTACACATTTATCAGACGTTGCATCTCACTTTGTTGATTATTTCATTAAAAAGAAATATTCATGACCATGTGAGCAAAAAGGTGATTTAAAGGGAAAACCCTGTATCCAAATTGTGCTGAAGATTAATGCATTTGATTGGTATACTTTAACTGAAAACTCCAATACCAACAAGGGTTTATTAATTTTCCTCAGTGATTTCCTTGAAAATGTTACCTTTTTGCTAAACTGTATACACATTTTAAAGTTTAAACATCAAAAAGTTTATTTAATTATCCTAAAAAAATTACCCTCCATAACACTTTTATTCCTGTCTTATAAAAAGTTTTACAAACCTTGTGAGAAGTCATGTGGTCTCTTAAATGAACTGCAGACAATTTTAATGCTTTCAGCTAAAAAGAAAAGGGAATAAATAAGCTATTGTTGTATGCCAAAGAACTCTTACCCAAGTTAATAAAAAATTAATAATATGTTTATAACACCTTCATTTCCTTTTGTTTGTACATTTAAACTTGTGGTTCATTCATTTACATTTTACTCTAATTTTGTTTCTTGTAAACTGTTCTGCAGGAATTACATGTACTTACCTTCTCTGTTAGATACTCTGCCATATTTTTCTTCTGCCTGTCCAAATATTCCTCATACAATTCTGTCAATCTTCTTGCCAACACATGCTCCCTGCTGAACAGGTGGTGATGAGAGAAAGTCAGAGAATTAATGTCCACATCCAGCTGGTAAAATCCTGCATTATCCAGGGAGCCATCAATGTAGCGGTTGTCATACTCATGCATGATGGCCTTTCTGTACTGAGTCTCCAACTCAGGTTCTTGTTCCTCGGGTACAGCCGGCCGAGAGGGGGTGGGGCGGAGGGGGTTTGGCAGAACAATCATCCTACCATCCTCCCCAAACCAATCTTCTTTCTTAAAAAAAAAAAATATTTGATGAAGCATCAAGGTAAATACACATCTTGTTATTAATAGAATAAAAAAATATGGTCTCTAGTGGTAAAAATCACTAGATATTAACAATGAAAAATTTCTGATTTATATCCCTTGAAAACAATCCATAATAAATATATAATTTGTAAAAAAAAAAACAAAAAAAACCAAAAAAAAACAATGAAGGCCTACATCAGTAAGAATCAATATATAAATTGAAATTAAATAATTACATGGAGTTCTTTGATCAGTCTGTTCTCCATCTTGTTGACATTCCAGCCTGATATTTTTGGCCTCGTTCCTACGTAGAACCCCTCCTCCTCTAGAAACCGAGGCTGCTGGTCATGCAAAATCTTGGATTTGTCCTCAGCCGTCACTGTTTATAAAGGAGTGTTAAAATTACACATAACATAAAACGTTCATTTACAGAACAATTTTTTTTTGTGCTGATTCATGCTGTAAAAGTCTTCTTGTATGAAAACAGTTTTTAGTTTATTTTTATTACATGTATCATGTTAATTATTTACATTATTTACATTACAGGTATTTACATTTAGCTCGAGCTGGAATGAGCTTGAAATAATTAAACTGAAAAAAATATTAACATTTTGTACATTCAAACAATATTTTAAAAATATCTTTTAATATTTTGGCAGCCAGATTAGATTTCTCAAGTTCTTTTTTGCCTTTACTTATATGAAACTCATCATTTGAAGAAAACAAAACAGTGTCCTACATTTGACAATCCTGGTTTAACAAGTTATGACAAAATTTGGTACAGTCTGACAAGAACGGTGGTTTTAATTCTTGACCTGACCAGACCTTCCAGATGAATAAATAGGTTACATTTCATCAAACTTCCAGATGAATAAAACATGTTTCCTTTTTTAGCTGCATAATAGAATAGAAAAACATTGACCTGGAGTAACGGAAGGATAGAAGAGTTTTTCTGCCTCCTTTTTGGCTGTCTCTGGAGAATCATCATACTCGGTTTTCCTGATTGCGTAATATCCGTACCCTTCCTCATCCACATCCTCAAGTAAATACGCCTCATCTATAAAACACCACCATAACATCTGTTAAATGATATTCTCTCCAACAGAGTTCTACAATTTGTGCTTGTGACCTTTCTTTCTCATCTGAACACATAAATCCTTACCTTCTTCCTTCTCCTTTTTCTTCTTCTTCTTGTCCTTAAAATAGTATTAAATATAAAATGACGAACTACTGATTATCAACAATCTTTTCTTCTGAATTAGTGTATTTGTATTTCACATTTGTTTTTCAACAGGATTCATATATACAAGCACCTTATGCTTTGTCTATAATGCTCTCCTTAAAGGTCACCACCCAATTATGAGTTAACATATTAACGATGAAAGTAACATTTGAAAATGATATTTCATAATTCTGCTGATTAGGTCTTGACACAAAAATGCCCTAAATTTTGTGCACATAAGTACACATACAGTACTGTATGATCCCAAAATGTTCTGAATTTTGTACACATAAAAAGTACACCTACAATATCATTAGCTTGATTATTTGACACACACAGAGCCCCTCACCTCCTCCCCCTCCTCACTAGGTCCTGCTTCCTCCTCACCCTCCTCTTTCTCCTCCTCAGCTTCAGGCTTTTCCTCCTCCTCCTCCTCCTCTTTAACTTTTGGCTCCTCAGGTTCTGGTTCAAAGTCATGTGTGAAAAAATCGAAAGCTTCCTCTGATGTTGGCATAAAAACACCCTACAGAAGGAATTAGGCATTATAATCAAAATCTGATACAAGAATAATATATATCATTTAAACAGATGTGAATTTTTTTTTATAGATTAAAGTTTTCTGCTAACATGTGCATTTAATCAAAATGTATTAAATGTTAAAGATTAAAAGTAAAACTCATTACAAAAAGACATTAATGTACAGGGGCTGTGTACTTCAAATGCCTTGTGTGAAGATCAAAGCTTTTAATTCATTCAATTTTGCAAGTCAAGAAAGCAGTCTCACAATGTAGAAGAAATGTGAAAGTTCAGGCAGAACATGAAATGGTAGATCATTTCTTTGTTTTTATACATGATTAAAACTTGCATTACAACAAGAACAACATGGGATTTCAGTGACTGATGAACAATTGTGTAAAGATGTGCAAATAGATAGGGAAGCTGCTATAAACTGCTGCTGTGGTTCTGATATTGTGTAGGGGAGATTTATAGAAATACAGAGGACAGAAGACATGTCTCTGTTACCTTGCTGTGTAAATCCATTCGTAACTGTCATGAAACAAAACTACTCAGAAATGGAATCATGAATTCTTGTACAATTAAATGAACATATCCCCATTTATATGCAGAGAGAGAGAGAGAGAGAGAGAGAGAGAGAGAGAGAGAGAGAGGACAGTTTTTAATCAAGTCCTTGGTTATTTTAATCCCACCTTCACTAGTCATAATGATGGTATAATGCATCTATGGACAAGTAAATCACTGTCAATGTCAACAACATTTGTACTTTTGTTTCTCCATCTGGCCATTAATATGTAAAACTAATGCCCAAATGAGTATGTATTTAAGAAAGTACAAAAAAAATTGTGTCTTCATTATAGTTCCTTGTTATATGGTATCATGTCAAACATCAAGATATAAGCCAAAAAATTTAATAATGAAAAGATGATTAATTTTAGCCATTTGTGCAGCTACTGTTTGTCAAAGATCTCACTGAATTAACATTATTTATTTTGAACGTCAAAAACAATTTTACAATCCATATTATATCTCTTTATTTGCTTTTATACCCAGTTAAAATCCTTATAAAATTTAAAAATATTATGATGCTAAATATTTATTTCTTTGTAAATTCCAAATTTTTCACAATGTTAAGTGCCGATATCAATACTGTTATTCCAAGAAAAACCACATTTTTTTTTTTTAAAAAAAGGAGAATTTGAACAAAATTATCACCGTTTAGTGTCACTAGGAAATAAGCCGATATATTTGTCATATAAATAAAGCTTTATAACACACCCTTCCTTAATCAATTGTGCTGAATAATTCGTAGAAATGACAAAATGATTTTTGATATTTTAACATCAAAAACTTTCTTGACAGTTTCTAAGCAATAGAATCTTAACAATTTCTCTGAAATATTCAACTCCACAAAATTGATGTTCGTACACATATTTATTCATTAATGTCATATTATTTCTTTTTTAAATGAATGAAGTGGTAAACATTTTGGAATCCTTCTTTAAATTCGTGGTTTGGATCATGTCAGCAATGTCAATGTTTAATTCATGCAGGTTTGTATCTAAGGTTGTAAATAGAATCTATTTGGGTTTTTTTATTTTATAGATTCTAATAATTTGATACATGTGTTTGGATCTAAAATTAATTCTGGCACTTACTGGATAAGGTCAATATTCTGTCATGTTTATCTAACATATAAAAATGAATAAATAAAAATAATGAAAAATAAATCTAATTGAACATGTTTGAAAAATGTAGTTTTTTTCCCTTGGTCCAGGGACAGAAAAATATTTCCCAAGGTTACTTGTACTATAATAATTCCAATGACATGAAATTGGATCAAAGTTCTTCAATACACATTACAGATTAAAATTCAAAGGTAAACTTGATATAGAAGCCGACTTGCACTTGACAAGGACTCTTAACACCAAATTACTTATTCTCATGTTATTTTTTGCAGGTCAAAGAATCAATTTCTAATACAACCAGTGCTGCATTTCCCTTTCCATTTCAAATTTGCAACAAGTCAAAGTTTGATTATAAAAATGTGGTATATTTTAGACTTCAATCTCTTTTTGTACCTGTAAAAATTTTGGCTGCTCTAAATTAGCAAATTACATAAAAAATTAATAAAATCTTGACAACATAATTAAAAGAATGTCTTATAAATTCATTTGTATAGCATTCCATAAATATTCATCCAGATCATTTAAAAAAAACTTTCAAAAATTCTCATTTGATGTTCATTTACAACAATACTTGCAATTTAATTGTAATATATTGCAGGACTAGTAGATTTTGCTTTATAATATATTTAACAAGCATGATTTCCCCAATTCCCCATCTTCTTACCATGTACTTATTTTTAGGAATGACTCTAATTCTTGGCCAAATTATTCGAGTATAACCTGGTTTGGGTCAGTTTACGCTTTATAATCCGCGAAGCGGATTATAAAACAGCGTTAACTGACCCAAACCAGGTTATACTCGAATAATTTGGCCAAGAATTAGAGTCATTCCTTATAATTTAATTTTAAAATCATTGAATAACTATGGGCGTAAAATTTCGTTGCTTTTTATTAGTTCAAATTTGCCGCTCAATAATACAACCATAGTAACGGAAGTAACAGAAGTGATGGGAAGCAAGGGGAGGTAAAAACTGATACATAGGCCTGGCAGCCTTGTTGTTTACATGTGGTAAGATCGAATTATTGTTTGAAGTTAAAGGTACTTTAAAGGGGGGGGGGGTGTCCCCATACCAAACCAGGTTATACAGAAATAATTTGTGTTCCTTTTTGGATATTAACCAATCAGAGGCTAGAATACAAACAAAATTAAATTATATATGTATATCTGTTATATAACTGTTCATGCATTTATAATGAAGACAACTGAAATTGAATAAGAAATATTTCATTAAATCAAAACTGTCCAAATTTGATCTCTATGCTCTCATATAATGATCTTTGTCTGTATAACATTGTTAATGGAATTTCTACCATCTCTGAGTCAGCGAAGTCCTGTTCAGACCTAGAACCTTGGTGCCATTGATATTGGCCATATGACTTAATAGACTGAATGTGATGACACACCCTTTAGTCAAAAGTAACACTTCTGGAATATCTTTAATACCTCTGTCTTGTAAAGACAAAAACTAAGAACAATCCCACTGCTGTGACCTTGACCTTCAGATGACTTGTGATTGAGGCTGCCATCTAGTTATAAACAACTTTTTACCAGAAGTATAGACAGGACTGGGTTGCTCAAGTCACTGGTTAAAGTTGACACTAAGATTTAAGGGTCCTCCACACCCCATGACTTGTGATGCATATCAAGAAAAAAATAGTTTACTTCCGGTTTTATATAGTTTGTGCGCTGATTTTGTGCATTAATAAGAGAGTCTTATTAATGCTGTAGAGATGAAATTTTTGTCAAAGGAAAAATATGCAGTAAACTGAGAGTGACACCCTATTCATAATCAATGAACACATGGCATGATGATGACATGGTGTGACCGAAAGAAAAAGGTGTAGATATGTTCAATAAAGAACAGCAGATCTTTGAGTTTTTGTAGCATAATAATTTGTAAATAACAGGTATATCTACGATAATACATAAAGTTTATTTCTACTTTCAGGCTAATCAATCCATTGTGATATCGTCAACAAAGTCTGTTGTGAAAAGTTTATATTTTTGGCACACTGATTTGTGCGTTTCAATAATACCTATCTCACTGTGTGTTTATAAAATACTGATAAATAGAGTGCATTTCTAGTTTTGCTCATAAATATCTGTCCAGTTCAGTTGCTAATAATGAGAAACTTGAGTATGACAATGTATGCGGAAACTTACCAGTTTTTGAGTCCTGGGTAACAGGAAAGATAACTCTAAAAAGGAACTTTGATACCAAAGATTTTGAAAATACAATTGAACTTCGCTATCTCGAACACTGATATCTCGAATACCATGGATATCTCAAAGTGATTTTGAAGTCCCAACTCCTTATTCTTTAAGTATTTTACCCTGGTTATCTCGAATCCTCAGATATCTCGAAGTTTTTTTTCGGTCCCAATGAGTTCGATATAACAAGGTTTGACTGTATTTTTTCTAAATCAATAAATTTGATTAAAATTAAATTTCTTTCTGTAATTATATTCATTAATGTTTCTTCTATACTACTGGGAGTCTTCCCTAATTTTTTTCTCCATGTATTTTAGATAAAATGAGTTATATTTCTTTTTTTTTATAATTTTTATTAATTTCTTTAAAAAATATGTTGACTAATAAAATTAAGTTTTTGTGGTTGTTTTCTGAGCTTCATAATATATGCCAGGAAAAAACAAAATTTGCTGTGCTACTTATCAAAACTTGGTGGTGAAAAATCTTAAAATTAAAAAAAAATCAGTATAAATTATATTTCAATTCTTGGCAAGTTTTTAAAGGTTGATATGTTTTTTATATGTAATGCTCAGTAATATGAGAACATAAGCTGGGGGTGTGTGGAGGATCCTTAACCACTGGTTCATACTAACCAGTGTTTTGAAAATCTACTCCAGATGGACAGAAATAAATATTTCCTCATACTCCTTATTGTAATGTATGATAATGAATCCAATCCTTTCTGTACCTTTTCCTCCAGAGGCTGTTTGCCTGCCTTCTTCAGTCTGGATCGGAAAGCCCGAGTTTTTTCCTCTAGTTCAGCTTCATCAACCTGTCAAGTACACAATGTCTGTGATTGAAACATAAAATGAAAATCTCTGCAAAGTCTAAAATTTGGTCACCAGAATTTATAAACTACCACATGTAATATGTTAAAAAAAAGAAAGTATTGGAGAAATTATTTTGATTTTTAAGATCATATATGTATGTGTGCATGCATATATGTCTACAAAAAAATTCTCAAACCCATCTACATTAACATATACAAGTCAGTGTAACTGGAACTTCATTTGCATATTACATATAAATATATATTTGCAATGATTCTAGGTACCATCTTCCTTAGAACATAAAAAGCATGCAGACTTTGGCCAATGATGTCTTTGTTATTCAATGCAAGCAATTTGTGATTTTCAAGCCATTTCCTCTACTTTTAAAAGTGCACATACAGACTTCATGCATTCCTCTATGTGCATCAGTGATCATTTATAATTCATCACTGTAATGTAACATTTTATTTTTTTCTTTCAAATTCATTTTCAAAAATTACTTTATTTCTCTCAGAAAATGAAAATGTACTTAAAAACAGGAAATAATTAACCTTCAAACTGATGTTAATAGCAATTTTATTTAATTTTCTCTTGTTTTTGTTTATAATTCTTCTTTTCCTTGGCTGCTTTTCTTCCTTGACTCCAAAAAGCCCATCACAATAAACCAAGACAAAATATTTTGTGGTCTTGTTATGATAAAAATTAAGGGAATGAGGAAATGTGCCCCCTCTGACCTTATTTACTAGCAGACTTAGAGGACATATGTAAAATATGTCAAGAACCATGAGTTTATGTAGTCTGATTAATTAGCGTTTGACAAAATGTCATCAAACATACGAAGATGCATTTGACAATGAAGTTCAGAAAACATGGAATCGTGACTGGTAACAACAAAAATTAAACACTCTTAATCTACAAGAGACTGAAAAAAAAGTGATAACTATTCATTCGTTTTATAATTAGTATCTAGACACATTACTGATTTATATTTTCACACTTATAATAACTTCAAATCTGTCTTTGTATTTAAATGACAATTATTGTAAGTTTAAATGCATTATTTTACTGTAAATCTGACAATCTTGCCAATACATCAGATTACTCTAGAGACGCTGATGTCAAATTTTCATAAGGTTAATTACAAAAAGCCAATTTTAAATGTTTCTTTCCATGACAGAATTATGTTTTGGGTTTACTGCACTAAATCTCCCTTTAAAGTGCAGCTCTCCACTCCACTCAAACTGTCATTAAAGAGAAATACTAGGGCAGTTGAAAAAATAAAAGACGTTATCAGAGTCTGAGACTCCTTGCTTCAAATTTCAGAGTTCCAGAGTATAAGCTCCAACCCTCCCCACAGAGAACTGGTAGTAGCAGTTAATCTGTTACTAGGTGGGGATGTATGCTAAAATCGAATTTCAGACAGATGAATTATCATCAATTTAAACACAACTATCTATTATACAATTTAGAAGGGTGATCAAGTGTACTGGATATCATAATGCTCCATTTTGCATTCATATTTGAAAGGATATCTTATTTCATATCAGAAAGTTCACTTCTAATATTGTGTAAGTTTACATCAAAATAAAATTTATGTACTGGCAACATAACCCTCCTTTTTAAAGATATCCTATTTCTTCTTAATAGAGGAAGGAGTTGTGTGTTGGCTACATAATACCCAAGAAATCAAGTTTCCTAATTTGTGTGTATTTTTGTGCTTTGGTGTTGCATGCCGCACACTGTGCAATCTTCCCTCTCCCGACTCATTTGCCTAATAATCATGCATTTAACAACCCCACAGTAAATCATATAACAAAGGGAACCAAGTCATAACTTCAGCCCACACCCCTGGAGGAGCCATTTTACCTCATTAAATTTCCTTGCCTGACCATGTTTCTGTAAAGCATTGACAAACGAGTATTAAATAACAAAATACTTCATAGTGCAGAGTGACAGAAATATTACTCAAAAGAATGGTGAGGTTAGACCCTGCATTTCTAACACGATCTCATCCTTTGTAACCTTTTCTGCAAGAGAGTGCCACCATGAAAGGAAGAAACACGTTAAATTATTTAAGGTCGTAGAATTGGGCTAACAAAAATATCATATGCCTCGTAAATGTCTTATGAATATGTACATCAATAAATACATCAAAGACTTTGAAAAAAAAAAAAGAAAATGAATATGCAAATGAGGATGAATCAATGTTTTGTACTGGTGTGAAATTGACAAGAATTCTGTGTCTCAACTTGACAGTTACTAGTTTACCGACATCTTCAAATTCATTACATATTTATTCTCAAAATATTCCAAAAAATCGTACATCAAGTGTGTGTGTTTTTCTCTTTACAAGCTTTCAAAAAATTTAAATTTATGGAAGCTTTATATCAAAGGTTTTACTGTCTGGTGGTAATTTTAACTTAATTTACATAATCTTAAGTGCCCAGAATCTGATTGGACTGAAAAAAATCATTAGATCTTTAATAGGCTAAAAATATAATTTTTTTTGAGATGAAAATAATACCTAATTACAAGTTCATCATGGAAGAGATTTGGAATGAGAGCAAATCATAGAATGTGCATTGTTCAGTATAATGGTGTCTTTAGAGAACATCAGCATTTGCACCATTAAGAATGCATTACTATTTAAGAAAAAATGAATTATTCTTTCATTTCTCTTGCATCGGTAATTACTTTATTATGTATAATGAACTTCCAATTATTTGAAAAATCTCTGTTCTGCAAATCAAAATCTGAGTCATTAAAAACTTCTGTTCTTATTAGATCAAAAATATCCTATCTGAACCTCTTAGACAATTATCACTGACAAAGCTTTCCTAAACATGGAACTCCAGCATTAAATTTTCGGAATGACAATTCATATTAGAGGAATGATCTATGATATTTTCTGAATCATTTCCTCTACACTACTGCACAATTCAATTTGTACACAAGATTTACATAAATCAACCCAACTTTGCATTGATATATGACTGACATTTGTAAATTTCTTTCGGTGGGATTGCCAATCATTAGGCAATGTGATATTTCAAAACCTTTGCTGCACCTTTGAGTAATATAAACACATACACAAATACCTTTTTTCCAGTGATGTACTGACATCAAATATATGAAGCAACATAAATGAAAGAGAATCATATAAGAGTGAGTGACTTGTCTAATTTCATCTCAGGCTTCCCAAATGGATAGTGATATTTAATTTACCTCAGGCTGATCAAAGCGGGTCTTCTTCTTGTCCTTGTCACGCTTGAGTTGTCTCTCCTTCTTCTCCTCTTCTTTTACTTCTTCTTCAGCCTTGGCAGCTGCCTCTTCCTAAAATATTTCCATTCACATTTTTCAAATTTAGCCAAAACCTACATGTATGACACTTAATATCATCAATCCATTTTAAACACATCATTACATCAGAAAACAATGTCTAAAATTATTTAAAACCTTTGTTTTAATACCATTACATTTGATCATAAATCAAATTTAACAATATTATCTTTTTAGATGTATTTCTTTTGCTGAAATCTTCCAATGGCAGTTTTTAACTAGTTTAGTGTATTTTAATACCCAAATGCCATTTAATTAACACTGCAGTTACCGGGGTATATTTGGGGATGAGGGGCTGCAAATAAGTTTTCCATTGACAAAAATCAAGTGAAATAAAGAGTGTAAACACTTATAAAGGAAAAAAAAAGCTTGTTCATGAGCTATTATGCCAATAATCATGAACTACATTCTAAAGCTAGTTGTAAAATAAAATAAAAGCATGTCTAATATTAAACATTAATGCATGTCAAATGTATGAAAGACAAGCATGTCAAACATTTAATAGTGATTAAACTTCTTTGCCACACATGGTCACCGATTTTGAAGAAACTTTGCCCATTATTACAACTTGACACCAGAAACATATATCAAATAAAATTTCATTGCTATGTGTCTTGGTTGCCATGGTAACAGCAAGAAAAGTTGGAAAAATTGAGATTTTCAGCTACTTTGAATCTTTATTAAGCCTTAATAAAGACTAAGAAAAACAAACAAACCATTCTCACAAAAACATGACACCTTGTTGCCACTTATGCTATAAAGAAACTATTTTGAATTTATCTCTAAGTAAGTGGTAACAATGGGTACATTTGGAATACATTTTAGATGCTGAAAAATGCTCAGTATTCACTAATGATAGGTATTACATGATCAAACTCAATGAACAACCTAAGAAAAACAATAAAAATATTTGACCTTAAGTAATTAGGTTTTGGCAATATTATTCTAAAAATAACTTTCATGGTTGCCATGGTAACACAGTGTAACCATGCAAAATCTGTTGCTAAGATTGGGTTAATGCTACTATCTTGAGGAAAAACAATAAACTTCATGACTGGCACATATACATCCTTAGGACCTTGCAACACCCACAACATAAGAAAAATTGGGATAAATTGCTACTTGGCAGTGTAACCATGGAAACAATGTCCAGTTGTTAAAAGTGATATTTTTTACTGCCTTAGGAATTTACTTACCTTTTAATCAGGAAACATATTATTTGACTCACCTTGAATAGTACTTATCTTGTAGAACTAAAGTTGAATATCATATATTGCTAAAGTTTGTTGAAAAATACAACACTGTTGCTATGGTTACCAAGAAGTGAAAATGTTCAATTTTGTTAATTTCACATTAATATTAAACCCTATGTACCAGCTTTTTGCATCCAGTTAGAGATTGGGTGGTAGTCAAAATTGAAAGTCAGGTTAGTTGTTCATATATATCAATCATAAAAGTTTTGGGAATCTACATACAAAGGTACGTATCCAAGGAAACAGAATATTTTTCAGATTTTTATGCATATTTTTTCGGCTAATTTCCATAGCAATGCTCTATTTAAAGAACTGAATTAGAATTTTTTTGAAAAGTGAAAATTAGGGTCACACCAACGTCTTTAAAAATTGATCATAAGTTATATAGAAATATGCTCTTTAAAAAGATAGGATAAGATTGAAACACCAAGAGTGTAAATTTAAAATCCCTTCGTGGTATTAAAACCATGGCAACCATTGCCAACCTATAATAAATATCATATCTTGTCCTTGGTTTATGTTACAAGGATCTTTTGTCTATTATTTGTTTGCATTTCAATCTATACTTGTTTTTAATTCTTATGGGTATGACTTTTTAAAATTAAATGAACAAAATTATTACTTTTGAATACTTTGTTTCCATAGTAACATATATAACAGTTGATTTACCAAACATGTTTATCATGCATTTAAGACATCAGGCCTTCAACTTTCAAAAACAGTCATTGCTACTTGTTTGCTTTGCTGCAAACGTTAACTGTGGGACTCTGAACATGTAAAAAACTGACATTTTTCAAACTTTAGGACATGTTGCTATGGTAACCATGACCTGTAGCAACCAATTTTTGCCTGATTTGAGGTTACAGTATCAAAGACATTTATTATAGAGAGTTTGGAGAAATTCTAAGACTATGCATGCCACAGCTCCTATATAAAAGTTTAAGTCATTACAGAGAATGGCTCTTAACACATAAGCATGTCTATGGTTTACCGTACAAGTATGTCTCAGGGATTTATCAGGCTGTTATGGGAAATGCCATTTTTGGGGAATTGAGAAAAAATTATCGGCTATTTGATGAAATTGGGAAAAATTAAAAATGTTACTTAAATCATGTATTCAAGTGTAAATCATTTAACATTTCAGCATGAACTCTAATTTGGACAACCAAAGAGACAATTAAATATGATCCAACTTCATCATACAAGATCAATTATGAATAATAGACTAATAAAAGTAAAATTTACTTCAGTGAGTGTAAAGTATTTATACAACTTAGGGTAGTACATGTGTGTATGAGATTTCAATTTAGGTCATTATAGAATCTGTTTCTGGAAAAAATAAACCTCCTGCAAAAAATTATACTAAAGTACAAATTTTCTCAAAATCCTCTATTAATACGCATTAAAACATTGAAATATATTTTTCTATCTGAAATAATGCCTACAGTCCTTACCATTCATTCGTAGATCATTTGAGTAGATGGAAATAACTTAATAAATCTATACAATTACACAATATCACCATTTTCAGAAAAACGGAGGAAATTCGGATTAAAAACTGGCGATGTTTTTACAGTGTTGTTAAACATGTGTTATGACTGTAGCTTTGCTAAATGAGTTAAATAGATGAAAATTACAGACAATCTGACAATTTTACTCTGTGTTTTTCCAAGAAAATTGAATATAAAAGCATTGTTCACCAATTGGGAAAAAATACAACCAAATTGGAAAAAAGTGAGCTCATTTTCAATTGGGAATGGGGCCGAATTTCGGCCCCTGAGAAGGTACTGATAAATCCCTGTGTCTAATGCTCAACACAAAAGCATGTTTAATGTTTAACATAAAAGCATGTCTAAAGTTTATAAAAAATGTATGTTAAATGTTTAACATGAATGTATGGTTAATGTTTAACATAAAAACATGTCTAATGTTTAACATAAATGTGTCTAAAGTTTAATATAAAATCATATTTTATTATTTTTTCAGGCAAATCTTGGTGATATTACCTTGGCTTTTTTGAGTCGAGCCTTCATGCTGAGTCCTCTAGGAGTTTTCACTTCCTCCCGAGGAAGAGTTTTTGGTGTCTCCTCTGGGGGAGGGGAAGAGGGCTGGGTAGGGGGAGGGGCCTCTTCCTCTTTTTTAACTGTTTCCTCTGCTTCATCTTTTATTGGAACAACTGTAAAATAAAAATAAAAACAAACTCTTTCTGTTCTCTCTTTAAAAACTTGGGAATAAAATTCACAAATATTTGTAAACTCTATCAGCTATCAATATCAAAATTAAACATATTTATGCTTTATACTTTCTTAATATTTAAGAAATGTTTTTAAGTTTTGTGTGAGTTTTTGGGGTTTAAATCACACAGACTTGTCACGTAGCCATATTTCATGAAGCGCTGTGAAGTCTGTGTGATTTACACACCAATAATTCACACTAAACTTAAAAATATTCCTTATATTTACATTTTACATGTTCAAAAGCACCAAAGATACATTCAATGTTTGAATCATTCGCTGCCCTATATCGTTACATTTTCATAAATGTCTCTGTAGCTCATTGTGACGTCACTTTAGCGTGAGTTTCTCTGTGCATACTTCTACGCATGAGTATACATGAAAATGACATTCAAATCAATTTCACAGTTGGCTTAATAGAAAAACATAGCAAATGTAAATATAAGATAATATATTTTGGGTTTTAATTCTTATTCCAATGTATTTAACTAATATAATTTTGAATTCTTTCAATTTATTTACAAGAATAATTTTGTTTACCCTCCTCCTCTTCCACCTTTTCTTTCTTCCTCTTCAGCTTCTTCACTGCATCTTCCTCTGGTTGTAATTCTTCTTCAGCAAAAGTTACTACTGACTCTCCAAGTTGGGTCTCTGCCAACTCCTCCTCCTCTGTTGGCATGGGAACCGTTCCATCCTCAGCTGCAGATAACTCCGCCTCTTCCTGTCTGATAGTCTCATCCACTTTTTCTTTACTCTTCTTCTTAATGGTGCGTAGTTCTTTAGCAAGGTCATCTTTTGGTGACTTCACTTTTGAAAGCTAAATTGCAAGAATTCATTGTAAGTTTATGACACATTATATATGCAGTATCATCCCTTTCATATTTGTAACAGGGTCAAAATTAGATATGAATTAACAGGCTGAACTAGAGATATTACGAGCAAACTCACAAAATGATACCCTTACCTCCAATTTTTTAATATAAAGTGTAGTTGCTGGTAGAATTTTTTTTTCTTCAAAATTGAATTAAAGATATTGTGGCATTTTATTTTTCTATCAATGACCTTAAACTAGTCCAAATGACCTTGGGTGAAGAGAATGACAAGCCCCCAAGTCAAAAGCATTCTTTGTATCAATAACTCTAGGGATGGGTTTCAAATGGTTTTCTGTTACAAAGTTGTGGAACAATCAAGAATTTAACCATTTTTGTACTAGTAACCTTGAATTTGAAAAGATCATCATGAAATACCTTCAGGCCAAAACCAATCTTTAATTAATATAAGAACCTTCAATAATTCTCTATTACAAAAATATGGACCAAACAATTTTTTAAGACTTTTTCTGCAAGTGACCTTAAACTAAACCAAAGACCTTGGGTCAAGGTCACAGAACAACATTGATTGATATGCAATCTTTTGTTTGAGCTCACAATGTTTCTCCATTACAAGATAATGCCAGTGACTTTGAACTTGTACAAATTACATTGGGTCAAGGTCTTGACACACCCTCAGGTCATAAGTTATCTTTGTGTAAAGTATGGACTTTAAAAAAAGAAAACCTGGTCAAAAGCATGGTTGGAGATTTGAATTTCACATAAAGTACCGAGAATTGATGTAATTAAACTTTTGTTTAACACTGACTTCTGTGGGACACATTAGTTCATAATGATTTTTATCTTGTAACTACCTGTGCTCAAAACTTTACATATCTACCAAATAAAGACAGCAGCATGCAAATTAAATTGAACAAAATCGAATAATATTGGGCTAAAATTAGTTGTAACTATCAGTTGTTATTTTGTCATAGATTTCAAACATCATACATGAAAAGGAATCTCATTTTGGCATTTCATTTGACGAATTCATATTGATTAGTGAACCAATAAAGTACACAAAAATGAATGTTTAGAATTATTTTGAAGACAAATGCAAGGCCATGCTCAATGTGACATTCTGTCAAAGAGAGGTCTTATATTTCATCTCCTTTTTCATTTCATGATTCAAAAATAGTTCATATGAATGCGGAAACAAAAGTTCATGAAATTAAAAATTACACATACTTTTAAAATCATGGATGGCATAATAAAATAAAGAGCTTCCATTGAAAAGCTTTTATTTTACTTCAGTACATTCCTTTACTATATAATCAATGCATACTGATTTACTTTGTAGTGCCTGTTCATTAAACACGTTAAATCAAGAACAGTCTCATTGTAATAACATATTGCCAGGGCAAAATAAAAAAACGGTTTATTTCATTTCAAATCCTGCATATATCAACACTTTTATCAACACGTCAAAAGAGGAAATTAATAATGATGCCATTAGTGGTAAGTTAGAACTAGAAATATGTCCATAGATGATGAATTCCCCACCCAAGGTAGATATATTTATATTGCAACATGATAAGAAATATACCTTAAATGCTTCTTTGGTCTGATATTAATTCATCTCATCTTATTATGTAACAGCTAAATGAAGTCCCACTGTTTCAAGTCCATTCTTTATGGAATTAAATAAGATGAACTCAGAGCAAAATGTTAAATTCAGGGTCATAGGAAAAGTCAAGGTAAGAAATTAAGCCACACTTTAATTGCACTGAGCAATTTTGTATACGCATAAAAATATCAGGAAATTATCGAAAATATAATATTCTTTAAACTTAGGTAACTTCAAAATGAAAGAAGAAAAGGGAATTACTGAGGTCAAGGTCACAGGGAAGGTCAAGGTACGAAAATTATGCCATAGTTAAAAAGCTTTCACCAAAATGTATCAGTATATGAATTTTGGCTTCAACAATTTCTTTGAAACTGAGCTTTATGCAAAGTGTGATGGACTAACAATATAGTGTATGATAAGCTTAGAAAATATGAGCTAATCCTTGCATCTGCAGGCATACAGACAGAGGGACAGACAAGTAAGTACAATGAACCTTGGTAGCATTGCTTATCCAATGTTAGCTACAGACAGATGGACAGACAAGTAGGTACAATGAACCTTGGTTGTGTTGTTTATCCCATATTAGCTACAGACAGAGGGACAGACAAGTAAGTACAATGAACTTTGGCTGTGTTGTTTATCCCATATTAGCTACAGACAGAGGGACAGACAAACAAGTGCAATGAACTTTGGTTGTGTTTTTTTTATCCCATATTAGCTACAGACAGTGGGACAGACAAGCAAGTACAATGAACTTTGGTTGTGTTGTTTATCCCATATTAGCTACAGACAGAGGGACAGACAAGCAAGTACAATGAATCTTGGTAGCGTTGTTTATCCCATATTAGCTACAGACAGAGGGCCAGACAAGCAAGTGCAATGAACTTTGGTTGTGTTGTTTATCCCATATTAGCTACAGACAGAGGGACAGACAAGCAAGTACAATGAATCTTGGTAGCGTTGTTTATCCCATATTAGCTACAGAAAGTGGGACAGACAAGTAAGTACAATGAACCTTGGTTGTGTTGTTTATCGCATATTAGCTACAGAGGGACAGACAAGTAAGTACAATGAACCTTGGTTGTATTGTTTATCCCATATTAGCTACAGACAGAGGGATAGACAAATAGGTACAATGAACCTTGGTTGTATTGTTTATCCCATATTAGCTACAGACAGTGGGACAGACAAGTAGGTACAATGAACCTTGGTTGTATTGTTTATCCCATATTAGCTACAGACAGAGGGACAGACAAGTAAGTACAAGAACTTTGGTTGCATTATTTATCTGATATTAGCTACAGACAGAGGGCCAGATAAGTAAGTACAATGAACCTTGATTGCGTTATTCCATATTATCTACAGACAATTGTCTCATATCTAACGTCTGTTTTAATGCAGGTTTATCATTTTTCTTGTTACAACAAAGAGAGTGTCATGTTTTTAATTTGAATTTTCATAAAAGGATAGATCTGTCATTTCTGACTTTCACTATTGTTTTATCTGTCCCAGACAGACTATCTTCATCAGCCATTTTTGTTTTTTGTTAAGGCAAGGTAAAAAAAGTAAAGGTTAGTTTGTACAATGAAAAATTACTGACGTCAACAATTTTCGATTATGAAAATAACAATTTATTATTCATATCATTTATTTCTAATGACTGCTAATCAAAAGTCAGCGACAATCATTACATTACTAATGGGGGGGGGGGGGGGGGGGAATGTTGAGCATCACTTTAGGAGGTATGTAATTGCCAATACATGTATTTCAGTCTCAATTCAGTCTCACTGAAATTACAATTACATTGAAAATGGTTATCATTTTCTTCTGACTGAATAAAATTTCAAAATTCAAGTAATATAATTTTTTTCTCATAAGTTGTACATATTATTTCTTTCAAAAGACTAATAATTATAAATAGCTGCACTAATCGGGAGATAAAACAAAATTTTCTCACATATTAATTGGTTCATTTAATCTACCAAAAGTAACAAATTAGACTTTCAAAAAAAAACAAACAAAAAACAAAGTGCAAAAATTTCTTTATATTTTTAATCTATTTTACAACTTATTATATATCACCTCCCCCCCCCTCCACCCCTCCCCCCCCCCCCCATTCTGAACATACCAATTTATAATCAATGCAAATGAATAATGCAAATGAATATTACATATATGTGATTCAAACCTAGGTTTTTGAATGTACATGCTAGTACATGTAATTTATGACTGACCTTGTCACTTCTGAAAACTAAAATAGGTTAAATTTGCTAAACTTCCTGTTCATTTAGCAAATAAAACTTTAATATTCAAATTAAATTTGAAATTCAATTTTCAAGGAAAGGAACTTGTGCAATTCTGATAATTTATCATTCTATTAACTTGTTTTTATTCCAAATATTAATAATATCCTCCAATCCAAATCAATTCTGTGTCATTTGCCAGACTTTTGTAATATACATGTATTATAAAACATACCAAATATTTTTCATAAAATCAAGTCAATTCCATTCAAAAACTGACCTTCTCTCATATGTAAGCTTTAATTAACCAAATATATTACCAGAAATTTACCGAGTGGTTAACATTGGTTTAAAAATACCAGGATAGCTATTTAAAGAAGTATAAATATTGCCTTTGAGGCATCTATTATAATGCTATGAAACGTGCCATTTATACTAAATATATATTCTCAAATAATAAGTGTTGGTCTATTAGAAAGGATATCAAAATTAGAACAAAGAGATTTGTGCAATGTAACACAATTACCCCCTTGGAGTTAAATATTCCAGGGTTAAACTTACGAAACTGCACTATAGTAGCAAATTTCATAAGTCAATTAGATGTCAAAATGCATGATTTACAGGATCAAAATTAAACGGCATAGATCATTTACACAAGGACCTTGAGCATGAAAGCTTTTTAGCATTGATTATGATTGTCATACCACCTGGTGAATTTTGATCACAGATACAAAATAAAACAAAATTATTTAACAGTCATAACATTGGCTGCACTATTTAACTGATCTACCATGCTTACAAGAAAAACAAGTGGCCCATGGGCCACATTGATCACCCGAGCACTTTTGCTAGGAAAAAGCAGAAATTAGTTAAATATCGAAAAGTTTAAATATAAAAGTGGTAGGAAAAATAGGAATACATAGGAAAAATCCTTCAAAATCTTTTTCTCAAGAACAACAAAGCCATGTTTAGGCATATTAATATAGAAGCATCCTCAGGTAATTCAAATTCAAATTTGTTCAAATCATGTTCAATTCATGTAAAACTTTGATCACTCACTGTGGCCTCACCCTACCTCTGGGAGTAATGATTTCAACAAATTTGATTCTACACAACATGAGGGTGCTTCCATATAAATATGACCAATCATGGTTTTGCTGTTCTTGAGAGGAAGATTTTTAAAGATTTTTCCTTTGTATTCCTATGTAAAACTTTGATCAACCATTTTGGCCTCACCCTACCCCCAGGGGTCATGATTTGAACAAACTTAAATCTTCACTACCTGAAGGTGCTTCAATATAACTAATCATAGCTTTGCTGTTCTTCATAAATAAGAAGATTTTTAAAGATTTTTCCTATGTATTCCTGAGTAAAAAAATCGCTCATTGTGGACCTGCATTCTACATCCGGGGGTCATGATTTGAACAAACTTGATTCTACACTACCTGAGGATGCTGCCACATAAAAATGACCAATCATGACTTTGTTATTCTTGAGAAGATGTGTTAAAGATTTTTCCTATGTATTCCTATGTAAAACTTTGATCGACCATTGTGGCCCCATCCTATCCCCAGGGGTCATGATGTGAACTGACTTGAATCGACACTACCTGAAGATATGACTAATCAGGGCTTTGCTGTTCTTGGGAAGAAGATTTCTAAAGTTTTTTTCATATTCAACTTTGATGCCCACAGTGGCCACATCCTACCCCAGGGGCCATGATTTGAACAAATTTAAATCTACACTTTGTCTGGAAGCTTTCACATAAGTTTCATCTTTTCTGGCCCAGTGGTTCTTGATAAGACGATTTTAAAATGATCCCAACCAATTTTTTTTTACTTTTTCTTAATTATCTACCCTTGGAAGAGGGTGTGGCACTTCATTTGAACAAATTTGAATCCCCTTTACCCAAGGATACTCTGTGCCAAGTTTGGTTGAAATAGGCCCAGTGGTTCTAAGAAAAAAACGAAATTGTAAAAGGTTTTTGACAACAGCGCCAACAATGACAGACAAATTTTGATCAGAAAAGCTCACTTGAGCCTTTGGCTCAGGTGATATAATAATATAAATACTAAGATGGTCTTGAATAATAACATTAACTGCATTGAAAATGAAATAAATTAAGACTTGCTAATTTCCCACAGATAAAAACAAATAATGTTTGTTTTATATTTAATACATTGTGAAAGATAATTTTCAAATTTCTAGTATTTGACATTTCCAACTATGAACATGTACTTTTGAAAGTAAACAATTAAACACTAAAGTAAAGCTTTGGGGTAATCAATGCACCTAATTGTGTCAGCTCTGTCCAATGAGATTTTCTTTTGATATTTTGCTGTTGTAAAAGACTGAAAAAAAATTTTTCATGACCATAAAATTTCACTTTTAACTCTGATCCAAAACTACTTTGTAAGACTAAAAGATGAAATAAAAGAAGCAAATTTCTTCAGTATCAACAGTTATTATGAAGTTTCTGTACCACTTATAATTTCCTATATGCTAGAAAAAATAAAACATCTCTTACCCAGTTGAAAATCAGGTACAAGGAACAAAAAAAAAATGTCCATAGGACATGAATGCTCATCCAATGTACATTTGTATTACAACTTTGCTTTTCTGGTCTGAGCTAATAGTAAAATACAATGAAGGAAAGAATAATTTTCATATTTTTTCTAGATACAGTACTGACCCCTTCAGTAAAGTAGTGTCCTTTATAGCATGGAATAAAGTGTTGGTTCATCCCATCTATAATTTAACAGGAAAATGAAGGCATTTAAAAACTAAATGAAGTCTCTTTGTTTGGAGTTCATTTTCTCATACTTAGCGAAATTATAAATGATATCTTAAGTAATTTAGCATGTAAAGTTAAAATGATCTTAAACAATTTATCTGTGTATGGAGTTTGATGAAGTAATCCTTTGTGGAATTAAATAAGATGAACTAACAGGGTTGTCCCTAACATCTTCCCCGCCTATCATGACGTAATCCCCCAGTTACTCTGGTATTCTCCACCATCACCCTGTTAATGAAGGAACCCTTGACCCCCTTCTACTTTTTAAATGTCCCCTGCTATTTTAATTCTTATGGATAACTCTGACTAAGAGCAAAATGAGGAAAAAGTTAAATTCAAGGTCATTGGAAAGGCCAAGGAAAGAAAATTATCCAACATTTTAATTGTTATCACCAATTTGTATAAGTATACAAAATTTGATGAAATATCTAGATCACTTTTTTTAAACTTAGGTAATTGAAAATTGAAGGAAAAGTGGCTTCAAAGTCTATGAATGGTCAAAGTAAGAAAATTCTGACACAGTTAAATTGTTCTCACCAATATGCATCTTTGCATAAAGATTGATTAAAAAAATCTTCAAAACTGATGTTCAAGATCATGGAAAAGTCAGTCTTGTCAAGGTCAGAAAATTCTGACAGTTTAATTGCTCTAACCAACATGTAAACTTGTTATACATTTCATTAAATATCTTCAAAAAGGAAGTTCAGGTCATAGGGAAGACCTAAAGTCAGAAAATAATGCCACAATTGAACGGCTCTCACACTTTGTATTAATGTGTGAAGTTTGATGAAAATATTAAGAACAGTTTCTTTTAAACTGTGCTAGATGCAAACAATTAATTCATGTGATAGGAAGGCCATGGTCAGAAAATTCTGACACAGTTGAATAGCTCTCATCAATCTGTATATTTGTATGAAGTTTGATGAAAAAATCTTGAACAGTTTCTTTGAAACAAGGATAAATGCAAAACGAGAATAGTGATATCAAGGTAAAAAAAATGACACAAGCTGAGTAGTTCACACCAATATATATCAGTATATGATTTTTCATATATGTACCTTTTATAGTTACTTTGAAAAGCAGATAGAGGCAAAGTAGGAACAAAGAGAGAATTTATAAGGTCAGAAAATTATGCCAAAGTTAAATAGCTTTCACCAATATGTATCAGCGTATGATTTTTTGTTAAAATATCTTAAACAGTTTCTTTGAAACTGAGAAATGCACAGTGTGATGGTCAGACAAACAGATGAATAGAAGACAGACAAGACAAACACTATATCCCCAATATAGAGTCCCAACCATATTCATGGTTGGGCATAAAAAAAAAATACAACAAAATAAATCATGAATAGACAAAATCATTTGATGCACCAATTGTTCATTTCCATATTACCGGCACTTTATAAAAAATCAATCTGATTAAAATCAGATCCTTGATGCTCAAAGCGATATATCATTAAAAAAAAAGAAGCATCAAGGATCAATTTTAATCAGATTGATAAAAAATATATATACATAAACACTTACTTTAAGCAATTATGTACAAACAATTGATTGCTTACCTCTTTCTGTTTGCTTAGATGCTTTGTTTTTAAGTCTTTAATGAGAGATTCAGCCTCCTGAGTTTCATCCACCTGCTTTATTAAAATAATAAAATATTCAAAATAAAAATACTCATGTATACATATAACATTATCTTGAATAATTCAGTGTTCAAGGACAATAGTTTCATATCCATGCTTTGAACAGCCAGTGTGAGAGAAAAGTTTCAGAGAAAGCCAACTTAGGGCAACAATGCTCATTTAATCCAGTGTGGAGACAAGATTTTAAAAGAGGTCCACAGGCCACAATACTTGTTTTTATCATAGGTGTGATAGCATTTGGTACTCTGAGCAATTGACATTCATATAATCTGATGTTATAACTCAGATTTCATTTTTATTAATCAATTCAACCAATCATTTCACTTACTTTTACACACATCATATTCACCTTAATAAGCTCCAATGCCCTTTAAGCACACTCTACTGCAATTTTTACTGAAAATAATGAATGCCCCCTCACTACCATTTTCATTTGCCATCTACTGATTTTCCAAAAAGTAAAATTCCCAGGTAAAGACTAAAATCAGGTTTACTTTGCTCTTTTATTTATTTTCATTATTATTTTATTCAATAAGTAGAGTATAAACTTAATAACAATTGTGACATCCATAAGACAGTAAGAGTTTCTCCATGAAATAAGATACCAGACTTAAGATGGGTGGGACATAGCTGCAGAACTGTAGCATTATGGTTTTATATATTAGTCATATTAGTAATATATCATTAGAAAAGTTTCAAGAGACAGAGGTATTTACATATACATAACAGGATAAAAGAGGGAGAATAACAAATAAATAGGAATGACAAGATGAGCTTAAAACAAGATGTGTTTGTGAAACACTGATGCCCCCGTATGGCAACTTATAGCGAAGGTTAAACTTTCTCAAATGCAAATCAAATATGTTGGTACCCAAAGTCAGTTCTTGTCCAAGGGAATATACCTGTGAAATATGAAAGCCCTAGCAGCAACCATTTAATAGATATGGAAAAGGTTAAAAATTTTCAAAGGTAAGTCAAACATCAAGGTCAAGGTCAAATGGTCAAAATTAATGGTGCCCAAGGAAAGGCCTTCTCACAAGAAATACACGTGATATATAAAATCCCTACAATCCCAACCGTACAAAAGATATGGCCAAGTTTAAAGTTTATCAAAAGTATGTCAAACTCCAAGGTCAAGGTCAAAAGGTCAAAGTTTTTGGTATTCAAAGTAAGGTCTTGTCACAAGGATTACATATGTGATGTATGAAAGCTGTAGCATCAAATGTTCAAAAGTTATGGCCAAGGTTAAAGTTTTCCAAAAGTAGGTCAAACTCCAAGGCCAAGGTAAAAGGGTAAAAAATGTTGGCATCCAAAGGAAGGTCTTGTCACAAAGATTACACATGTGAAGTATGAAAGCCCTCACACCAACCATTCAAAAGTCATGGACAAGATTAAAGTTTTTCAAAAGTATGTCAAATTCCTAGGTCAAGGTCAAAGGGTCAAAGTTGTTGGTATCCAAAGGAAGGTCTTGTCACAAGGATTACACTTGTAAAATATGAAAGCCCCAGCACCAACTGTTCAAAAGTTATGGTCAAGGTTAATGTTAGGTAAAATTTTGTAAAACTGGGTCAAACTCCAAGGTCAAGGTCAAAAGGTCAAATATGCTGGTACCCAAAGAAAGGTCTTCTCACAAGGAATACACCTGTGAAATATGAAAGCCATAGCTCCAACCAATCAAAAGTTATGGGCAATGTTAAAGTTTTTGCGGACAAACAGACAAACAGATAAACAGACAAACAGCTAGACAGACGGACGGACAGGGCAAAAACTATATACCTCCGAATCTTCGATACGGGGGCATAAAAATCCTTGCTATGGAGTAAAAAAAACCTGAAGTTGATTAAATTCTGAAGAATATGGCAAAATGATTTATAACAAACAAGCCTAAACTTTATATACTTACATATCTAACAAAACCAAAGTTTTATTGTATATAGAAAGTTTTTTTTTAGGGAAAGAAAAGAAAATATTACCTCCACTGAAGATTCACCTCCACTGTGCTGCTGTGTGTCAGATCCTTCATCCTAAAATATCAAACCATTCACACAATAATAATGATCCAAAAAATGTTTTCAGGGGGTTATCATGTATGCATTTTTTTTATAGTTTGCAGTTAGTCTTAATGTTTTATTTCTGCATCAAATGCTCATTTTTTTTTTATATCTGTATAAATATAGAGAAAATTTTCATTCCTTCTAGCAATTGCTGTTTTAGTGAAGATGGCTCTCAATACTTGGTATCGCTTTAACCTTGTGCTATCTAACTTACTGCCAATTTTTCACAATAAAGTCAAGAAAGCTCCAAATCTCACGTCATTTAAGGGGCATAATGTATTAATTACGCTAGTGACAATCGCAAATATGTAATCCAAGAGAACTAGCATATCCTAAATTTTTTCAGCTGGTGCACTGAGTATTTAGCAAGATATTTCACCAGGACTTCTTTCTTTTATATCATTTAAATATCTACAGTGATTGATATCGTAATGTATTGAACAACACATTGCCCCCAGTAATTCATATTTCTTACCTCCAACGCGAAAGAGTTTTGTTAAGTTTAGTAATTGCGATATTAAGTATTGTCTCTAATTGGGGCTGTGAAAAGCACCCATTCACAATATTTTTCCCCCAACTGAATGTATTAATTTTTCCGACATCATTACTCACCAAAATGTTAGAGAAATGTGTTTGGGTATACATATAATAACTACAAGTAAACTTGCTAATCCTGTTCTTTTGTACAGAAAAACAGAAATTTATTTGATAGCATATTTTTCCACAAATTCCCAAAAAGGTCTATAATTTCCCCAATTTTATCAGCCCTGGTCCCAGTCTCATAAAGTTGTCTGAGAGCCTTACAGATACATTTTTAGTATTGATGAAAAAATTGCTTAACTGGATAAAAAACAGTAATTAATTTGTTGACTCGGGCTGATTTTCTTAGTTGCACAGAGAAAAAGTAAAAATTTGCATACCTGTTAGGTCTTATACATTTTTACAAGTAGATGACGTTATTTAACAACAGACTGTATAAAACTCACCATACTTGGATTGACAAGACCCCGTTCCTCATCTTCTGTATTATCTATCAAAGCTTTCTTTTTCTTCTTTTTGTCACTTAACAGCAAAAAGAGAGATAAAAAATAAATCCAAGAAGCAATAAACACAAAGCACTGAGTTAAAATTTTGTTTGTTTCCATTTGGAACTCATTCTTCTAATTCATATTTTACTCATAGGCTAATCAAAAGTTTTGCAATCTCCAGATCAATTTAGAGAGTTTTGCATTTAATTGCAAAGACGAGTTGTGGAGGGGGGAGGGAGGGTCACTCAGGATCTGAACCCCACTAAGACTTTCAATTTCATAAAATTCATATAAATTTAAGTAACCCAAAAATGATTTTCAATCCCCTCAGGAAACACAGACACCCATCCCTCCCCTATAAACTGGCCCTAAGTTGATAGGAAGCCATGCATATACATGTACATGTAAAATGAAAGTGACAAAATAGGCAATAGTGCTGATATGCTTTTTATTCCTTTGAAAAGAATATTGAATTGGAAGATGTTTTCTTTTTCTTTTTTGCATTCCTTTTTTTTTTTTTTTGTTTTTTTGACCTGGTACATGCATGCCCTAGTCCAAAATATCTGACGTTTTTCTGGCTTTTTTACGAATTCGATATTTTACGTGCCAGCAAAACGTCAGAACCGGCGCCATTATGAAAACTGGGAATTCGCTGCCTCCAACAGGTTGATTTTTGATCCTTGTGAACCGAATTAAATGTCAAACTCACAACTCATCGATAGTACAATACTTTTAGTACTCACCAACATTGTTTTTATGGTTCGTTTATAAAATATACAATCCGATGAAAACATTTTATCTGACTGTTGAGATTTGTTTTCATTTCATGCATTTTAAAATCTTGCAAGTCCTTTATCGAAATGCGGAGTGATGTTTTCTTTTTATCGATATTGGCGAGTACTAGAAGCATTGTGTTATCAATAAATTGTGAGTTCGGCGTTTAATTTGGTTTGCAAGTATCGAAAATCAACTCCGGTTGGAGAAGGCGAAATTTCCAGTTTTCATAATGGCACCGGTTCCGACGTTTTCCTGGCACGTAAAATATCAAAATCATAAAAAAGCCAGGAAAAAATCAGATATTTCGGACTAGGTATGCCCCTGCCCACAAAATTAAGAAAATTCATGAATCTGTTCTTGAATAGATCAGGGACCTATATAGTATATAGGTCCCTGAATAGATATAGTTTTCCTATGATGTCCTATTTTGCCCTGAAGTTATTCCCCTTGGCCGCCATCTTGTAGGGCAAAGTAGTGGATTTTCCTCTTTGAGCAACCAATTTTAAACATGTATCCGTAAAATATATGGGGAAAAATCTTAACAATATTAAAATCAGGAATTAAAAAATGTTTTACAAACATATATTCATAAGAAAAACAGTGTTTTCTTCACCTCAGCATCCAGCACAACAAGTTTAACTTGGTTGAATAATGAAGGAATCTGGGCATGTTGACCTACAATATGGCGGCCATAGGGAAATAACTCCTGCTTCAATTGCTTCAATGGAAAACTCTCTGTTGGGTCTTTTGTAATCTTAGAAAACTTAATTATGCAGTAAGTGGAGTAGCCTTTGTCATATTGAATAAAGATGATTGTAATGAAGAACACGTTCAGAACAAAACTTTTTCTGCTAAAATTTGTCTTCGCATTTACCCTGTGTCTACTGTTGTTTCTCTGATCATTATTATATTAAATGCTGTCAAAAACACAAGATTCTTGCAATTTAGGTAGAACTTTTTTTTTATTTTCAGTAGAAACACAAGTGAGGATTACATCAACTCAGCTCAAGTGGGTTTAAACCCAGTTTACTTGATGGTGGCTTACTTAATAAACCTACATTAAGACATTATCATAGGTGTGAATACGGGTATGAATGTGTCAACATCTTTCTTAAACAGGTTGGGCACAATTCCCTTCTTTAGTAACTGTTACGCTAAAAGGGAATTGTTTCTCTTTTCAGTAATAAAAAACATAACTGTATAAGGGAATTTTCACTAGTTTCCCCTCTATTCTTGTGTTTGCTTTGAGTAAAAGATTAAGTGCAAGAATATTTTCACATCCTCTAAATATTTATAGTCTATTAAGTGTATGTATGCTTAAAACTGCAATATTTACCACTGCAAAACACTGAAAATGAGTGATAAAATATTTCTACGATATATATTTCTTACGGAAGCCTATCGGTGCTAAAAATGTAAGATTGAATTCGTACAGCACTTGCTTACTCATACATGAAATAAATTAATTCATTCTAATTTCATTATATATATGTATCATTTCTTTCAAAGACACTGTAAAAATATTTTTCCAATACCACTTCTTCTTTTACAGACGCAAATTATTATTTTAAATATTAAAAGATATTTATTCAAAGATGGTTTTAGAATGAATGCCCTTAAAAGATCCCAAATTTTTCAAATCATTTCTCAATGGAGAAAATTAAAGTAAAAGTTGTGGATTACTGTTGCGTATGAGTTTAAATTTCTATGCATGTTCAAAAAATGTCACCTCCATGAAGCCAAGCTCTGAAATTTTACGTTTTTGAATAAATAATAATAATATACTTCCAAGGGAAAAATTCACACCTGTTGCAAGAATACTCACAATGTTTACACACTTTATACAGTAATGTTTTTTTATTACTGAAAAGAGGAAGAATTCCCTTTTAGTGTAACAGTTACTAAAGAAGAGAATTGCGCCCAACCTGTTAAATCAACTTTTTAAGTGACCTGGTCTGGTAAAATCACTAGATTTAGCTACCATCAGGTCCAGGAAAATCACTATATTTAGCTATATAGCTTAATTTACCTATATAGCTTTATAATATAGCTTTATTTAGCTATTTTAGAATAAGTTTCTGTTTTATGAAAAGCAAACAAAAAGTCGCATGAAAATTATGGCTGATATTTTTTTAAAAAGGTTTGATAAAAACAACCTAAGGCATAGATAGTAAAAACATTGCCTCTTTTAAACACTTTTTAACCAAAAAATGCATCTCTATTGTTTGGATAGCTGTCCATTACTGGAAGTGCGATGAGGCATGACTAAGTGTGATTGCCTTGCATTGTGCTGAATTGTTACCAATCAATTATCTTGTTGACCAAAACTGCTTTTCTTTGTTAAAGTAGCTGCTTATTCACAGATTAACTGTTATACATAGCCCCAAAACTTTTAGATCTTTGCAATTGCACAAAAGGAGAAACATTTTTAAAAGTGGGTTTTTGGTGAATTGTTTTCAGTCCATTTCAAAGTTGAAAACTAATACTGCCTCATTATGCGACTTTTCGTCTGCTTTTCATAAAACAGAAATTTACTCTGAAATAGCTAAATAAAGCTATATTTATAGGTAAATAAAGCTATATAGGTAGATTTAGCTATATAGCTAAATATAGTGATTTTCCTAGACCTGACCATGGCTACGTAGCTTGAATTACCTACATAGCTTTATTTACTTACCTGAAGTAGCTTGATTTAGCTACTAGATCAAAATTATTTCTTAAATTAGCATTTTTACCAGAAAGTGCAGAAAATTTTAGCTAAATAGCTAAATGTACTGATTGTACTGGACCTGGTGACTTAAATAAAAGTATTCAATTTTTATTCATTTATCTTAACGACCAGGAAGACGCTCTCTTATGATATTGATATGTATCTTTGCATAAAAAAGGATAAAAATAGTTTAATAATTCAAAACAAACAAATTACAACTTAAAAACCAGGTACTTACGCCATCTCAGTATACCCAAAATTTCATGGAGCGTTCGTAGCAACTACTGATGTCGTTTTTCCCCAGATCTTCAACAATTAACGTAAATGTCAGATGGAGTTTACAAATACTTCTGATAAATATTCTTACAAAAAATCAATTTTATCCTTTCATTTTCATACAATATCCAATGTTTATCATTTTTTCACAAGACAAAACTTGAACCCAAAATAAGCGGGTCCAAATGAATCTCCGTACACGAAAGAGTGCTTAATTTTTTTTAACAGGTCGTACTTATTATAATTCGGTTAAATCTGATTTGTTTTTTTTTTTTTTTTTTAAAGATTTTAAATTTCCGTACATATTTACTTCATCTATTTAATGAAAGCAAATGATTGTCCACCTCTTCATCCTTCCCCGCTTCCCGAATCGGGGTAATTGATTTCTAACAGTAAAGGTATATTTTAGACCTTGAAAGTCGTTATGAGTCTTGAAATAAAAATTACTAACAAATGATAATTTTCCTGCAAACTAAAATAATATCATTCATTTGACTCAGATATGGAAAAGGTATTGTTCGAAAAATATTACAAATTTTAACGTTAATTTTTTGTTTTATTGGTGATGTTAGAAAAATATTACAAATTTTAATATTATTTTCGCTTTGTTAATTCGTGAATCATCAGGATGTGTGACTACACTATCTGACAAAAACTTGTCAATATCAGAACTAAACTTGCCTCGCTGATGGACATGTCATTGTTGTGCGTGCTCTTTTAAGTTCATGGTCTTTTATTAATCTTTTTGTGAAATGTTTTGATAAAATCAAGGCGTATTCCTCGATACCTGCAATAAATCAGATTGATATTTTACAATGACACATAGGTAAATGCCATCCATGTTCAACTTTAAAGAAATTTAATTGAAAGAAGATTATCACATACTTGATTTTTTTTAAACTGAACTTAATGCACTTTTTTAACTCTGCAGATAAAATTTTTATTATGCAAACATTTATTTCATTGTACTTTGTAAGTTTTGAATACAGACCAACGCCCAATTACAATATAATGTACGATATGAAGTTGTTTATAGGGTTTCCCCATATATAGGGTTTCTTAAGTGAAGACTACAAATGAATAACTATTGATAATTGTATGATATCGATGCACTGTAACATACATCATCAAAGAAAATCCACGTATCTAAATCTAAGTAGTCTGTCATTTGAAACCAGTCAATTCTCTCTCTCATTTTTTGACGGGAATTGAAAATGAGGTGGGTGGGTGTGAGACGAATTTTACAAAATTTATTTCTTTAGTCTAGGGAATAAATAACAAAACATATAGACGAATTCTTCTTTTTTTAATACTTTGTATACACTAGAGTACGTCCATTTTCATGAGAATTCTTGCACTTTGAAATAGCAGGTGGTGATGAGATGTTTTAGACTTGTGTAAACAGTTCAAATAACTTGCTGTCAGGAACAGTTCCTCTCAGGTCCCCACTAATCAATAGTCTCTGAATCTGTGTCTCGCCCAAAATAGACCCCTGTGTTTATTTTCAGCTAACCGATATCTTCTTAAACAAAAGACCTAAAATTAATGATGTGAGGGGCTCCGATTAGGATCTGAAGACGGGATATCATATTTAATCTGCAAAGAAGATATTCATCAATAAAAAAAAATTACAAGGGCGTGTTTATCAAATTAATAAATCTTCAAGCATATCTAACTCCTCGTCGGAATCTATCCATTAATAAACTATCACACCCAGTCATAAACTGTACAAAATGGAGCCATATCGTGCTCTGTCCACCATGGTGACAGAGGATATACAATAATAGATAGTCTTTTAAGGTCTTTGAATTTTAAACTAGGACACAGATAACCCAACGAGAACTAGAAAATTCGTCATGTAAAAAGAATTGAATATATTTTTCAAAATGTTTCAAGTTCTTTAAAGGATGCTATTGTAACATATATTTAGACAAATGGTAAATAAAAACGAATACTCATTTTTAATTTTTTTTTTCTTGGACGGTTAAAATTGTATATACCTGTACAGAATTTTTAAGTCTTCACCTCATGCGCCGATCCAGGAATTTTCTCCAATGGATGGTGTGGGCATACCCACTAAAAAATCAAACAAAAACAAAAAACGTAAACAACTTGTCAAATCCGAAAAACCTATTTCGCGGACATTGGGGCGGGGGTGGGGGGTGGGGGTTAGGACAAATTGTTTCCCTTCATATATTTCTGCTGACCCCTGTCCATTTTACCCGAGGTCCGTGTTTTCTAAGGGGGGAGGCGCAAGATCAAGTTTTCCTTACTTTACTGTGCAAATTTGAAAACTCTGAAAGTCCAGAAAGGGAAGGGGGTCAGGACCCGTTCCCCACACGCTAGATACGCGTATGCACGTAACATGTTTGTTTTCGTTCACATTCTCGCACAAAATAGTCATGTGCAAATTTTAAATCATGAAATTCAAAATTTGTACGTTTAATTCCAAAACAATTCAATTTTTTCTGATGACAGTAAAATAAGATTTTCAAAAATTTCATGAAAAAAAAAAAAATAATAATGATGATGCAAACCGCAAATATTACTAAAGTTTACAAATTAGAAAATGAATTTTTACAGAAAGATGGCCAGTAAAGTTTCATCAGTCTTACGTCAACAGCTTTTGGAAGAAAAAACATACGTATGTATTCATTTACATAGAAGTCTCTGAGACGGTACTTGCATCTATTTCTGAGTAAAATTAAAACTACTCTCATAAAATCTAGTTTTGTTGCATGAAATTTAATCTCTATGGAAAATCATAGACAACCAGAACTCGAATAAAATGAATTCCAATTTTGATTTTAAGTAAAAAAAAATTATTGTAGAAGTAATTCTCAATGACTTTGCAAACAAAAAAGACAAATATTCCTTGAATTTTCTCCAACTTCAGAAAAAAGAAAATTCAGAATGTTGCATTCAAAGGACAATCAAACGATTGTGATACAGATATCTCCATAAAATTCGTACGCTATACTGTTTATACATGTAATTAATTTTATATTGACTGAGTGGAAGGAAAAAACAAAATATATTCCATCCAGTAAATTCAAAACACATCATCACCCAGTAAATCAAAATATACTATCACTCGGTAAATTAAATTTTACGATTGAATAATGTGATAAAATAATGTGTGCTATAGATTTGATGAAACTGCACAGTCGCTTGTTTGTTCACTACGCTCAGACCATACAATGGTATATGAGGTATATGAACATATTTACATATATACAGAGTACAAAGTCAAATTAGGAAGCGTCATTATTACAAAATAATAGAGTATTACTGAAAACATGCCATATTCTTTTAAAGATCTGTCCGTATTAGTCCATCTACCAGTCGCCGAGAATACAGGCAGATGAAAATTCATGCACTTATGATGCCCTCTGCTACCGTATGAGATTCATCATTTTCAAATATTTAGTTTACTTTTATGATATTATTTCATTACAGTTTGACGAGTAATACATATAAAAGTCCACCAAAAGACATAAAATTCTAAAGTCATGTAGGTACGAGTGCCATAATCAGGTACATGACTTTAACACTGATATTTAAATTTTTTATTTTAATTTCATAATTAATATAATCATTAAATTTTAATTCAAAAGTTAAGAATTCTAAGCGACAAAAGTCAAGGTTACCTCTTAAGTAATAAAAGACACAGTTCTGACACATATGAATAATAAGTGTACTTTTTTTCGTTTACATCGATAACTTAACACATTTTAAAATACAATTCTCAAGTCTAATATAAATCATTTATTGCATGCGAGCGTTCCGTTATTCCTCTCACTGTCTTAAACAATTCACCTGTGAAAAATGATACTATTTATTTGAAAACTTGTACAATGTCACATTCGGATCTGAATAGGTTTATGTAAAAAGCTATCCTGCTGTGCAAATACTTGATTTTTTTTTATCCAGAACAAGAGAAATCGACAAGTTCTTCAATTATTTACATGTGTATCGGAACTTATCTTTAACTTCAGTCGATAAGAAAATAGTTATACACATTTTATTTAATTAGGTTTGGATCAATTAATCGAACTTCCACTGACCGCAATTTGATATATGTGGAGCAATGTGATAAGTAAGGAGTTACAATGTTTTACAATATTCAATACAAACTTTGGTGTCACATTGAGTCGTTTTATCTATGCAATTAATCTTCTTCGCTCTTGTCAATACATCGGTTGATCTCTGTTATTTGGCCCGGTATGCTTTTTTCTCCTTGTATCAATACGCTGAAAATGTGTAATGTATTTGTAAATATCTGATCGGAGACAAATAGATTATAATTTAATAATTTACGGATTTAGAAATGATCTCCGGCTCAGGATTTCATCAATGGCGACCGTAGTTTGGTCTTCGAGGCAAAGGTTGTAGCCCGAGATTGTTTTTGATATACTGTTAGTCTGCGACTGTGATAACCGAGCGATAACCATCTCAGAAGCGTGTGTTAGGTCGTACCCCGAATTGGACGATTCTGATTTGTTACCGACAAGAAGGAATGTCACATGACCCTGACATCACGCACGTTTCTGGCACGGGTCTTTTACTGAAAGGCGGAATCATACACATCAACGAGATCGTACATCAAGAGTCCTGGGAAAATAGTCACAATTAACCTCCATTCAAGATATCGTGTTCACGACTGATTTACAAGTTGGCCATGATTGAAAATCGTCGACCCTTGTATACATTTGATAAAAAGTATCTTTCTTTGGCATCAGAGGTACAATAGAAAATTAGCGACCAATTAATCATGGCGCTATAATAATTGCTAAATTAATAAAGACCCTTCTAAAAAAGTTATAAGTTACAAAAAGTTAGCTCTTTTTTTTTTTTGCATGAAAAGGTTCAAATTTCAGCTTCATAGAACAACCACTATACCTCTATTCATCGAGAAGGTTCTAAACCATATGCTTGTTTATGAAATTATCATTAGGGTTTGATTTCTTTACTTATATTTTAATATTTTTCATAGCTTAGTTATATATTTTTTGAGAAATAATAGATTGTGCAACTAAATCA